CCACCCTTCGGCGGTCAGCTCGGCGCCAATCGTGACCATCAGGAAAATGGTGGCGATGTTCAAGACCTCATTCGACGCCGCATTGCTGAGGCGCGGCACTACACCACTCTCCCGGAATATATTCCCTATCATAAACATGGCAATCAGTGGGGCAGACTCTGGAACGAACAGAATTATTATCAGCATCGCCCCGGTGGGGAATATGAGCTTCTCGGTGCGGGACACTTCACGCGGTGTCTTCATTTCGATTCGGCGTTCCCTCTGGGTGGTTAACAGCCTCATAAGCGGAGGCTGCACAAAGACCACGCTGGCCATGTAGGAATAGGCTACGACCGCGGTAATTCCTAACAAGTCAGGTGCCAGTTTAGCCGAGGCAAAAATCGTTGTGGGACCGTCTGCTCCGCCGATTATGCCAATGGCGCCAGCCTCCTCCAGAGTAAAAAGGTCCGGCGACGTGAAGAGTCCCAGGCCCAGCGCCAACCAGAAAGCTACGAAGATACCCAGTTGAGCTGCGGCACCCAATAGCAACGTCTTGGGATTGGCGATTATCGGCCCAAAATCAGTAAGGGCCCCCAACCCCAGGAATATGAGCGGGGGAAGAATATTCCACGAGGACAGTGTGAAGTGGAAAATCAGGCCAAATATTCCTGATGATTGCAACTCGCCGGATGGATCAAAATCAATGAGGCCCGTTCCTGGCAAGTTGCCGAGAATGATGCCCAGTCCTATCGGCAGAAGAACGTAGGGTTCCATTCCCTTGGCAACTGCTAACAGCATAAACGCTCCCCCCAACAAGAACAGGAGAGCGTTTCCCCAACTGAGATTGGCGAACCCGGATTCTAGGAGAAATTCCATGCTTCCATAGAGATTGCACTTTGTTCTGTGGAACTAACCATCATTTTTGCACCACGGGCTAACGATCTCGTTCCCTGAGGCGGCGGGAGTCGAAAGCGACCATCCTTCCTTGCTCCCTCCAACCGCCGTTGATTTCCTCGGGAGCCTCTAAATCGCGCTCCTCGTATGCCGCCTGTTCCCTGCGATACTCTTCTTTAGCCAAAGCAACGGCAGCGCCGATAACGGCCGCAAGTTCGGGTTCCATCTGAACAGTTTCAGGATCAGCGGCAGATTCGGCGGCAGTTGCCATTATCTGAGACGCTGCTTCTTCGGCGCGAACCTGGGCTCTTCGCAGGCGCCAATCGCCCCAGCGGCCAATCAACCCCGTGAAAATCACCAATGAACCCAGCACCAGAAAAGACGCGCCAACGCCAGCGTAGGTCAAGAGTAGGGCCCGGCTTAGTTCAAATTCCGTTTCCAAAGAGTCCCGCCGGTTTTACAACTAGTAAGTATCCAGAGTCTGCTTGATTGGAGAACCACGTGCCAGACATGATGGCTCTGTGAGCATCCGTTCAATTTCACTGGTGATCATAACCATTTGTATCCAACAACACACACACAACACCCCACAAACAAAAAAACACACAACAACCCACCAACCCCCCACACACACCCCCCAACCCCACCCACCCCCCCAACCCCAAAAAACACCAAAAAAACACCCCCCCCACCACCCCCCCACCCCCCCCCCCCCCCCACCCCCCCCGCCTGGAAAGTGGGTGGCGTATTTCAGAATTCACCATTACTATCCAGTCAGGCGGGTACATACAATCGAATTCATGGATGTTTTTTTGACAAAAGCAATGGGCGAGAGAGGTTCCATATGACTTTGATAGAAGACCGGCTTAACCAGCTCGGTTACACGCTGCCCCAACCACCCGAACCGGCAGGAAACTATTTGCCCGCTAATATGAGCGGCAATCAATTGTGGTTGGCTGGGGTCGGAGCACGCATGGCCGACGGTTCCAGAATTGCAGGCAAGCTAGGAGCTGACTTGACAATAGAGCAGGGCTACGAAGCCGCCCGCTGGTGTGCCCTGAACCTCTTGGCCAGGATAAAGGCCGAATTAGGGAACCTTGACCGAGTCGAGAGGTTCATAAAAGTCGTGGGCTTCATCAATAGCTCTGCGGATTTCGAGGGCCAAGCCAAGGTGCTGGACGGTGCATCCGACCTGTTTGTAGAACTGTACGGTGAATCTGGAATGCACAGCCGATCTGCTCCCGGAATGGCCGCGCTGCCCGGCAACATCGCCGTAATCGTTGAATGCGTTGTTGAAGTTAAGGAGGCGTAATAAAACCCCCGCCTCCTTTAGCATTTCAGTCTATCGGCAACCCGAACTTGGCTTTCTAGCCTCCGCGCTGGACTTCTATGTCAGAGAGCTTTTCAACGAAATGCAATATTGCCGAGTGGTCCAGTTCCTGGTCACCATCATTGACCAGGGAACCAAGCATTTGCTGGACCAGAGCCGTCGCAGGCAAAGGTACATTCAACTCCTGTGCCGCTTGCAGAACGTTGCGCAGGTCCTTTTGGTGAAGGCGAATCCTGAAACCGGCGCGGAAGTTGCGATCAAGCATCATGGGCGCCTTGGCTTCCATCACCGCGCTGCCGGCCAACCCGCCTCGAATGGCATTGAATACCTTTTCGGGGTCGACGCCCGCTTTCTGCGCCAGCACCAACGCCTCGCTTAGCGCCTCGATGTTAAGGGCCACGATTATCTGATTGGCAAGCTTCGTAGTATTGCCAGCTCCAATTTCGCCGGTCAGATTGATGGTGCCCCCCATGATGTCAAACAGGTCCACGCACTGGTCGTAAATCTCCTGCTTGCCCCCAACCATAATAGCCAGGGTTCCGTTAATGGCGCCCGGTTCGCCGCCGCTCACCGGAGCGTCCAGCATTTCCACTCCCTTGAGAGCGCATTCTGCGGATATTTTCTGGGACATAATCGGAGATATCGAGCTCATGTCAATGATGATGGACCCGGGTTTGGCACCCTCCAACACTCCGTCTGGTCCCAGTATGGCCCGTTCCGAATCGGCCGAGTCAGGAAGCATGGTGATTATCTTGTCGGTGACCGCAGCGACATCCTTACCAGAAGATGCCGGCTTTGCACCTTCAGTAGCCAACTCTTCCACAGGTTCGCCTACGATATCGTAAACGGTAAGCTCATAGCCCGCCTTCATAAGATTGCGGGCCATTGGTTTGCCCATTATTCCCAGTCCAATAAAGCCTATCTGTTCAGCCATAATTCCTACCTCTAAATTAGAACCCCGCCAGTACGAGGTCCCCTTACTTGACGGCTGCAACTGTAACACACCAAGTGAAGCCGTACCAGATAGTAAGCGATGGCCGCTTAAGTGCTTCGGATCTCTTGCCGAAGAGCTTTTCGGTGGCTTACTTGATAGCATCTCACGCCGTGTCTTACTTGGCAGAAGGACAGTTGCCCGTTGTCTGACTCGTATGCAAGGCGTATCATAATTGCAGCAACATTTTTAGTGAGGAGCGGATGTCCGAATCGCGAAAAGCACTAGTAACCGGCGGAGCCGGCTTCATTGGATCCCATTTAGTTGACCGTCTGATTTCCGAAGGGTTCAGGGTAGCCATAGTTGACGATCTGTCAGCCGGTTCTCTGAAGAACCTGAATCCGGCAGCCACCTTTTACCATTCAGACATAACTCATTCTTCAGTCGACGAGATTTTCAGCCGCGAGCAACCGGACATCTTGTTTCACCTGGCAGCCCGGGTGAGCGTAACCTTTTCCGCACAAAATCCTGTGGATAACGCTGAAGTTAACGTCATCGGCACGTTAAAGTTGCTGGACGCCGCGCGGCGCATGGGGTTGGAGAAGTTCATTTTCTCTTCGACTGGTGGCGCCATTTACGGAAATCCTGAGGAAAACCCCTGCAGTGAAGAAACTCCCGCCATACCCATTTCCCCGTATGGATTGTCCAAATACATGGCGGAACAATACATCGACCTTTTTCACCGGCTATACAGATTGAATTACACCAATCTGCGATATGGCAACGTCTATGGGCCTCGCCAGGACCCTCACGGTGAGGCGGGCGTGATATCCATATTTATTCAGTCCATGCTGGATGGAGGCCAACCCAGAATTTTTGGAGATGGCACCCAGGAGCGCGATTTCGTATACGTAGAGGACATCGTGGAAGCCAATATCAGGGCCATCGACGGCGGCCATAACTGCACGTTGAATATCGGTTCAGGGGAAGGCACCAGTGTCAACCGGTTATACAAGCTACTGCAGGACGCGGTAAACTACTATTGGGAAGCTGAGCATAGGCCCCGCCGACCTGGCGAGGTACACAGTATTTCCCTGGATTGTGCCGAAGCCCTGAACCAGCTAGGTTGGTCTCCTCAAATCTCCCTGCAAGAGGGCTTGCAGAGAACTGTAGAATATTGTAGAAGTGAAGAGAGTCCAAGCAGGCGGTCGGCCTGATTGGGAACTATTCGCGTCAATTTTAAAGGCAATAGCCACATCATAACTTTAGGAATTTAGGAGTTACCGATTCATGGAAGCTGAGTACGATGCCATTATTCTGGGAGCGGGTGCCGCTGGCCTTGCAGCGGGTCTTTACACTACCAGGGCTATGATGAAAACCCTAATTCTCGAGTCGCTTGGCCCTGGCGGACAACTGCTCATCACCGACGAAATCGAGAACTACCCAGGCTTCCCGACAGGAGTCAAAGGGCAGGAACTGGCCCAAATGATGGAGGAGCAAACCACTCGATTTGGGGCCGAGATCGATTACGCTGAGGTTGAGGAAGTCGAGGGCCTGGACCAACCTGTCAAACTCATAAAGACCTACGAAAAGGAATACACGACCAAGAGCGTGATCATTGCGACGGGCGGTTCCCACAACAAGTTGGGAGTTACCGGAGAGGACGAATTGGCCGGTCGCGGCGTTTTCCTATTGCGCTGTATGTGATGGCAACTTCTTCCGCAACCAGGACGTGGTTGTAGTCGGCGGCGGCGACGCGGCAATGGACGAAAGCCTTTATCTCAGCGGAATCGTCAATTCCGTGACAATTGTTCACCGGCGTGACGAACTGAGAGCCACGAAGGTCTTGCAGGAACGCGCCTTTGCCAACCCTAAGTACAAGTGGCTTTGGAGCCACGTAGTAGAAGAATTTACGGGCAACGAGGCTCTCGAATACGCCAGGGTTAAAGACCTGAAGACCGGTGAGGTTTACAATTACCCCACTGCCGCCGCTTTTATCTATGTTGGCTTCCATCCCAACACGGAATACCTCAAGGGCCTGCTGGACATGGACCCACTGGGTCACTTATACACTGACATCCACATGCGTACCAAGGCTCCCGGCGTGTACGCCTGTGGAGATGCCCGCGCTGATTCAACTCGCCAGTTGGGCGCCGCGGTGGGTGACGGCATTACCGCTGCCCTCGCCGCCTATCATGACCTGAGCGGCGCTTAAGCTGAGACGGAAACTCCACATGTAAAAGGGGTGAGATAAGACTCGCCCCTTTTCTTATCCACACTTCCCCCGCTTACCTAGCCCGATTGTTTCGTAGCTCTTCTTCATGCCTCGAAACTTAGCACCGCATAATTGCGGGTAGGGTAAGCCTATCCACCGTGGGGAATTCATCCCGCTACCACCTTGGACACCTCTTGCCCCAGTAGCACTAGGCTACCGGTGATAATTACCCCAATAGCCACGTACCGGAATACGGCCTCATTCATCCGCCTCGCCAGCAATGCCCCGACACCGAAACCCACCACTAATGACGGCACCAGCAGGGCAATATTGACCAAGATATCCCGATCCACCAGCCCAATGAAGTAATACAGTACAAACCCCACAATGTAAGTGCAAAGGAAATAGAAGGCAAGGGCTGCCCTCATCTGTTCTCGATGCCAGTGCTGGGCAATAATGTATGCCGCCGCCAAGGGCCCGCCGATGCTTAGAGTAGTTATGGAAAGGGAAGTGAGGAACCCTACTAACAGTCCGGAGCCGCGCCTGTTTGCCATTGGCAGTTGAATATTAAGCAGGTTGAGGACACCCAGACACAATATCGCAGCGCCTATCGTTAACCTCAAAACCGTTGGGTTAGCCGATTCCAGGACCAGAACCCCCAACGGAACGGCCAGAACTCCACCAACCGCCATTCCTTTCAGTAATCGAAACTGCAGGTGGCGCCACGTAGTCAGCAGGACGAAAGAAAGCAGGATTGGAATTATAGCGTTGACAGTTACTATTGCCGACTTAGGGTCCAGGAATAGCAACAAGATGGGAGCGACAACCAGGCCCATACCAAAGCTGACGGTCCCCATGATGGTTGCGCCGACCGCCACCGCGAGGATGGCGATCAACAACTCTAGGCCGGTTAACACGCGACCCTCGCGATTCCTTTCATGCAACCGCTATTGATGGAACAGGGGTTCAGCGTCCGCTCGCAGTCCCAGACTCCGGCTTCCAAAAATCCAGCAGGTATTCGAAAGTAGTTCCCATCGTAATGTAGTTCGAGGGCCAACCGAAAATACCGACGCGATTTACTATGTTTGTCCGGTCCCAAATGATAGTGTTTCTCAGTTCATATCCCACCGAACGCAGCGCTTCGACCACGGCGGTATGGATAGTAATGCGCCGATTATCCAGCCACATATCTGGAACGTCAATGACGCAATGCCCCCGCTCCCGCAGCAACGGGAAGAGGCTGCCATAGATTTCTGCCATAGCGTCCTGGTAGGAGTCTAGGTCAAGGGTTCCCAGGTCCCTCGGGTCCTGGCTGTATTGTTCAGTCTTAAGGTATTGGCTGTTCTTTCGCTCCGCTCCCCTGCGGCTCTTGTTAAGGCGGGGTCGATTCAGCAAGTTTGCGTAGGGAGGCGAAGTAAGTATCAAGCTGACCGACTCTGGTTCGAGAAAGTCCTCTATCATTCTGGCGTCGCCACAAAATCCAACTTGTGCGGTGGCATCGTGCGCTGTCTCCGGCTCCAGCCTTGCCTCACACAGGTCAATGTAGTCCTGTTTGAGGTCAAAACCCACGGCATTACGGTTCAAGTCCCTCGCAGCCACCAACGTCGTGCCACTGCCGACAAAGGGATCAAGCACCAACTCCCCTTCATGCGTAAACAGGGAGATACATCGTGCGGCCAGGGATATTGGATAGGTAGCCGGATGAGCGGCCTTGTCCCTGATATCCCTTGATTCGTAGTAAAACTGCCAAACTCCCAATTGCGACTTGATCCATTCCTTGGCGGTCATGCAATTGATATGTTTTGGCGGGCATTCACAGAGCCTCTTGTTTTCAAGTCCAGGTAATTCTCTCTCTCTTTCAACCAGTAATGCCATCAGATCCTCACCACCCTTCACTCTCTCTCGGGAAACATTGCTACCCGGTTTTACTGCCTACCTGCGAAATAGTCCCAACTCGGCTGCCACTTGCAGGGCCCTTTCCACTTGCACCACCGGCGGCCCGTTTCTCTGCACCGAGATTTCTACCTTTTGCTGCGGAGTTACCGTGAGCGCCCGTTCGCCATCCAGTGCGATGGTGCTATGGCGCCGCTCTACTTCGACCCGTTCACCCTCCGCGAGGCGTGCCCAACTTGCTATATGCACTTCGGCGACCATCCCCGGCGCCACAGGCGCCAGGACTGTGGACTGACCGGCCCCGTGTGACATCCCCTGGGTCTCTGTGGACTGCCCAGGTTCCCCATCTGGCGAAGCGTTCCTGCCAGCCAGGACGTACCGCAGCCCTCCAGCGTCACTCAGTGAGATGTGCTGCAACCGCGCCCCCACCGAAGACAGGCCGATGGCTGCCGGTTCGGCGCGAGTGAGGAAAACCTCGTAGAGGGTGCTGAGATCCCATATGGCGCGCGTGGCTACGTACCGTTCCCGGGATAAGGCCACATCCACCAAGGCCAGGTCCCGATATTCGTTATCTACGTAAACCGCAAGGGTCTTGCTGGTTACAGACACCCAATCGGGCAACAGTTTGCCGCTGGCCACCAGACCCGCAACCAGGCCGGCAAGAGTCCCTTCCACCATCTGCGGGAAGACGTTATTGGTGCCAGTGGAAATGGGCACAACTGGAATGGTGGAACTGCCGCATGCCACCGCCCTGTTGGTCCCATCGCCCCCCAGGGTAACCAGGCAAGTCACCCCCTCTTGAGCCATCATGCCTGCTGCCCGAATAGTGTCCCCTTCCGTGAAGTAAGTGGGCATCTCAAGCAGGGACAAGTCGACGTGCAATTGGGAGTCATCCCTGGCCCTCTGGCACAGATGAGAACCATCGGGCATGGCAACGACTTGCTCAACTCCCACCGCCTGAAGGCCCAGGAGCACCCGTCGTACGATGTTGACCTTTTCCCAGTCGGGAATGACTCTCCCTTGAGCGACCAGCCGGCGAATGTCTTTGCTGGCGGCCGGATTGGCAATGATTCCGACTTTGGTCAACCGTCATTCCTTTTGGTGTAGGACGCACGAAGCGTCCCACGAGTCTTACTTTGCTATAATCACCCGGATTGTAGAGAGGGTCCCGTTTAAAGGTCAATTTAAAAAAAGTTCGGAAAAACACCAAAATTTGAAGGGAGCCTTGAAGTTTCCCTTGGAGCGGTAGAAAGATGGAGCAAGAACTCGCCTTCAAGTCCGCAACGGAACTGGCCAAATTGATTCGTTCAAAGGAAATTTCCTGCGTGGAACTTACGGAGTTGTTCTACAGCAGAATTGCGGCGATTAACCCCAAACTGAACGCTTACCTCGAATTGTGCGCGGATAATGCAATGGCGGAAGCCCACAGCGCCCAGGGGGCGGTGCAGCGGGGAGAGCAGTTGGGCCCCTTGCATGGCATACCAATTTCAGTCAAAGACCTGGAGATGACCAGTGGCGTGCCAACCACATTGGGATCAGCCATCTTTCGCGGACGTACACCCGACCTGGATTCGGTCGTTGTTGAAAGAGTAAAGTCGTCCGGCGCGATCATTCTGGGTAAAACAAACACGCCGGAATTCGGACTCTCTGGGACTACCGAGAACAAGTTGGGCGACGCTTGTCGCAACCCTTGGGATACTGGCAGAACGCCGGGCGGCTCCAGCGGCGGAGCAGCAGCGGCATTGGCTTCGGGACTTTGCACTTTGGCAACCGGAAGTGACGGCGGGGGCTCCATCCGGATTCCGGCCAGCTTCAGTGGCGTTTTCGGTATCAAGCCCTCTCAAGGGCGAGTTCCTCGTTACGGTGGCTACGGCTATCCTGCAGCGAACCACTTTTCCCAATCGGGCCCCATGTCCCGCACCGTAGCGGATAGCGCTTTGCTTCTCCAGGTGCTGGCTGGTCCCGATCCCCGTGACCCGGTATCCATGCGGGTAGCGCCCCCCGACTTCTCGTCCGGTTTGGACAAGGGAGTAAGCGGCTGGAAGATTGCCTGGAGTCCTGACCTCGGCTATGCCGGTGTGGACCGTGAAGTATTGAGGGTCACCGAGAATGCAGCCAGAGTTTTCGAAGAACTGGGTGCCTCCGTTGAGACGCCAGACCTCAGAATTGATGACCCCTTCCAGGCTTTTTGGGACGTGTTTGCCACTGCTTCCTATACATCCTACGGCCATCTGCTGGAAGAACATCGTGACGATTTTACTTACTACGGGCTGCGCGCGTTTGAGCATGGCGCGGAAGTAACCGGTGCGGACCTGTCTCGTGCCCTGCTTCGTGTTGACCAACTGCGGCGGCAAATGGAGACCTTTTTCGACAACTACGACCTGCTCCTGACTCCGACAATGGCCGTGCCGGCGTTTCCAATTGACCAGCGTCCTTCGGTGATTGGCGGTAAGGAAGTGGACCCCTTCTGGGGGTACCTGCCCTTCACCTTCCCCATCAACATGACCGGCCAAACCGCGGCCAGTGTTCCCTGTGGATTTTCCGGGGACCCGGCAAGCGCCGGAATGCCCATCGGCCTGCACCTGGTGGGTCCAACAGGCTCAGAGGCCAATGTGTTGCAGGCCTGTGCAGCCTTTGAACGGGCCCGGCCCTGGGCGGATAAACGTCCCACTGTCTCGTAGTCCCTTTTCCTGCTGTTACTGCTCACAATTCAGTGCTAGCTTCCGACCGGTTCATTCCAGTTGGCAGGCTTGCGCTGCACTGCATTGCCTTCTTTCCTGCCACTTCGTCTAACTCTACTTAGTCCAACCCTTTCTCCCTCGCCCAGCAAGGTTGACGTTGTCAACGCGAAGTGATAAAAATAACCGCTTCGCATTACAACTCTTTATATCGCATTACAAAGTATTTAGGATTGCTATGTATTTGCCTTTTGAGCGCCTGAGATTGTCTGTCGCCGTCCTTATTTTCCTGGCAGCACTGGTTGTGCTGCTGGCGTGGAACCGCTCGGACCTGGCGGCGCAGCCGGAAGATGGTGAAGTGCCAGCAGAACAACTTGGCTTGACCGCTGAGGCCCGGGAAGCATTGCAGGGCTCTGACTTAGCCTTCCCGTCAGACGATGCCGGGTTTTCAGCCTACTATCGCATGGGGAGCATTGGTGACTATAGCCTTGACAAAGCAACGGTAGACGACCACATCTTCGGCCAGGTCGAATCCAATGCCATTACGGTAAGGACAGCTCCGGCAACTCTGGTAGAAATAGGCGACAACTACACGATATCGACTCTTTCATTGACGAACATAGACTCGATAGCATCCACCGTTAACCTCTATTACGACGACGAAGGCTGGATTGTGGCTTACCTGCCAAGCGGCACATCTTCGTCACAAATCTGGCAGGCCAGGGAAGAGAACACGGAAAATCCTGAAATAACGGACATTAGCAATACCACCCTGTTGGACGCGATAAACGTGGTGGTGGATGACGCATTGGGCGAAACAGCAATCGAGCACGATGATAGCAGTCTGGGATACTACCATTGGCAACATACGGATGCTGATAACTTCTTGATGATGGCCGTTTCCAGGCAAATTCAGGGAGAATACCCTGTCCAGTTTTCGGTTCCGACGTCATTAACTGTGGCGGAGGTTTCAGCGACGATGTGGGTCTCTCTGGCAAGCAACACCGATCCACCATGCGCCAAAGTTATCCTGGACGACTCCGACCTGATCACTGAACAATGCACCAAGGGAATATCAAGCAGCACGGCAATCCTGTCAGATTTCAATAACCAGGCCAACCACACATGGAAGCTGATTCAGTCGGAGAGGGATGAAGGAGCTTCTGGGGCCCTGCTGATGATTCTCTACTCCGTCTCCAATTAGTGCCGCTCATGCCCAGGTTAAGAGTTTCAGCCGGAAATTGGAGAAACTACCTTTCAACTGCCCTCTTGATTTCGGCCTTTACTATTTACGTCCTGACCCTTCCAACATCACTTGTCAGGGCTTCTCAAACGTCTATTCCTCCTGGTCACGACACTTCTGTACTTCAGGGTGAAACGAAGGACGTAGCAGTAACTTCAATAATTCAAATGGGCCCTCCCTCTGCCAATGAAGGCGACACCGTCACTATCCAAATTGGTGTGGTGAACAACGGATCCGGCGAGGAGACATTCAGCGTCAGTCTTCATGACAACACCGAGAATAAGCCGATCGCCTCGAAAGAAATAACGCTGGATGCCAGTAGCTCAACTACCGCAAGTCTCGACTGGGATACCTGTGGAGCCTCTGGCGGTCCGCCTCCGCCAGGCCCGCCAACGCCGGGAACCATTCACTCCCTGACCGCAACCGCAGTATTGGAAGGCGATTCAGACAGCAGCAACAATTCCCTGAGTCTTCTACCAGGGATATGGATCATTGCCGCTCCCGAGGCACCTGAGATTGCGTTTCCGGAACATTTAGAAATTCCACAAGCCAAGTATGGGGAGGAGTTGCCGTTGGCAGTACCCCTGGTTCAAACGGAGTCTGTTGCCCTTAGCAGCACCTTCGTGGGACCCGTACAGGGTATGAAGTCGCTCGAAGCTTCAAATGCTTTGATACAAACCGAGGGAGAGGCGCTGAGCAGTGTATTCAAGGGTCCTGTCGATGCAGACGACGATTTAGACTTGAAGGATCCGGACATAGGAACTCTGGGAAGCAAGCTTAGCGAGATATTCAGCGCAGGCGTTCAAACAAAGGTAAATGATAATTTTGCCAACCCTAATATTGAAACCATCTCTGAACTACTCACTCGCATTCTGTCTGACAACGCTGATGCCCGCGTCGATCAATTCTTACTCAGGCCAGGGATTGATGCTGAAATTGCACCGTTGACCAGTATTCAAATAGACGATGCTGACAGCGACTCGCTAAGTACTCTCTCAGGACCGGATTTACAAACTGAAGCAGACCCGCTTACCGACATTTTCTCCAGCGAAATCGAAGGCAATCGCACCCAAATGCTTTCTGTGCCTGCGATTTTAACCGACGCACTTCCTTTAGCCGAAATCATGTCCGACATTACTCAAGACCGTGTACTTAACGTCTTCTTAGCACCGACCATTGAAACGGAAGCTATGAGTCTGACCGAGTTGTTTATCAGCCCGTTGACCGTCATGTCCACTCTTGGCAGCAAAAGACCTGACATCAACACGTCGGCCATTCCCCTGTCCGTCATCTTTTCAGGATCGGTTGAGGCCAGACTGGCAAATTCAATTCGTAAGCCAGAGGTGTCCACTGAGGCGGATCCGTTAAGCCGACTGCACGTTTTTGGTGGGGCGGCCACTTACCAACCTGGCCAAGCGATGGCTCGTCCATTAGTGGAAACTACGATAGATGGCACGATAAGAGGAAGGATAAAACTGCAAAATGACTCAAACAGCCTGGGCGCCTACGTTACCATTGGTGACGAGGTTACATTCGCCGACCGAGATGGCAGATTTGAAGCGCCGGCCCCCACTGAGACTTTTGACCTTTACATCGGGGCGCCCGGGCACATTCCAGTCCTAATAAACGGCTTTACTCTGGACTCGAGAGAGTCGCTGGAGATTCCGGAGGTGACACTGCTCTTTGGCGACGCAAACAGCGACGGTGTAGTGAACATCTACGACCTGGCTGTGGCCGCATTCAACTATGGTGAGACCATCCGAACAGTTCCGGCCCCATAAGAAATACTTTGTGGGGTCAGGCCACAGCGTCCATCAAGATTTCTACCAGGTGCCTGGCGGGGCGCCCGGTGCCATGCTCCACCTGCTGGCGACAAGAGACACCCATAACGGCCACTTCCCACTCAGGACCCTTGTCGCGGATCGCTGGGAACAATACCTGTTCTCCGATAGTCATGGAAATGTCGTAGTGTTCCTTCTCAAAGCCGAAGGAACCGGCCATTCCGCAGCAACCGGAATTAATCAACTCCACCTGGTAACCCGGCGCCAGGCTCAGAGCTGCCATAGATGTGCTTGTTCCCACCAGGGATTTCTGGTGGCAATGACCGTGGAACAAGACTTTTTTCTCCAGCGAAGTGAACGCCAGGTCAAGCTCACCCTTTTCCTGGAGCATAGCAAGGAACTCATCGATCATATAGCTGTGGTCGGCGACTTTGGCAGCACGTTCATCCTGGCAGAACTCCGGGTACTCGTCGCGGAAGGTTAGCAGGCAACTTGGTTCGCAGCCAATAATGGGGACTCCCTGGTCAGCAAAGGCATAGAGGCGGTCTACATTGTATCTGGCGTGGGCCGCCGCCTCATCCAGCAGTCCCTTGGAAATCATGGGACGGCCGCAGCACTCGGCGTCAGCCAACTGGACTCGATAGCCGGCGGCCTCCAGCAGCTCCACGGCAGCAATGCCGATTTCCGGATAATTGTAGTTCATGAAGGTATCGTTAAAGAGAGCGACTGTACCCTTAGCCGTCCCCTTTAAATTGGTGCCGGCCCGCGAATTGAACCACTGTGCCAGGGTGGGGCTGGCGAATTTGGGCAGCTGCCTTTTGGGATGAACACCCAGAAATGCGCTGGAAAAGAATCGACCAATCGGGCTGCCTGCCCCAAGGTTAGCCAGCGACGCAAAGCGGCTGCCAATCCGGCTGAAACGCGCAATGTGGGCGAAGAACTTGTTGCGGAAAGGACGTTTGTTCGTTTTATAGTAGTTGTCGAGGAATTCATACTTGAGCTTTGCCATGTCCACGCCCGACTCACACTCGGACTTACAGGCCTTGCACTCAAGGCAGAGGTCCATGGCATCGTAGAGGCGCTTGTCGGTTATGGTGCCCTCGGGGAAATTGCCGGATAGTGCGGCCCGCAGCAAATTGGCCCGCCCCCTGGTGGAATGCTCCTCTTCCCTTGTGGCCATGAAGGACGGACACATGGTGCCGGTAAGCTTGCGGCAGGCCCCCATTCCGTTGCACATCTCCACCGCGCCGGCGAAGTTAGAATCCTGCGAGAAATCAAGACTGGTGCTCAGGGAAATGGCCTCGTATTCGGAGCCATAGCGCAGGTTTTCCCGCATAGGAGGGCAATCGATTATCTTCCCCGGGTTCATTATTCCGTGGGGGTCGAAAGTGCTCTTCAAATCGCGGAAGGCCTGGTAAATCTCGGGGCCAAACATCTTTTCGGTCCACACACCGCGGACGATGCCGTCCCCGTGCTCCCCGCTCATGGAACCGCCGAACTCCTTGACCAGGTCGCTGATTTCCTCGCCGATGGAGAGCATTTTTTCGATCCCTTCGGCGCTCTTCAGGCTAACCAGCGGCCTGATGTGGAGGCAGCCAACGCTGGCATGTCCGTAGTAGCCAGCTGTAGTATCGTGGTTGCGGACCACCTCGTCGAAGCGACGGACAAACTCACCCAGGTTTTCCGGGTCAACCGCCGGGTCTTCAACGAAGGGGATGGGTTTGGCGTCGCCGTGGGTGCTCATCAACAGTCCCAATCCGCCCTTTCGTATATTCCACACCATGTCCTGGTCGGCGCGGGCAAGCAGGTTAACGCAGGCATACCCCAACCGACGGCGGGCCATATCATCCTTCAGGTTCTCCATCTTGGACGTAAGCTCAGCTTCCGACTCACCGTAAAATTCCACCAGGAGCACCGCGCCGGGATCGCCCTGCACAAAAGCCATGTTCCGGGACTGCCCCATAGATTCTCGCGAGCGGTCCAGGACCATCTTGTCCAACACTTCCACCGAAGACGGGCCGTGATTCAGGACCTCCTTCGTTGCTTCGCTGGCCTCAAAGATGTCCCTGAAATGCAGAACGGAAAGAGACGTCATCGTCGGACGGGGAACCAGGTTTATTTTGGCCTCGTTTACCACACACAGGGTTCCCTCGGACCCAACCACCATCTTGGTCAGGTTAACCGGTTCCTCTCCCAGGAAGGAATCCAGGTTATAGCCACTCACCCGGCGCATTATCTTCGGATATCTGGCCTCGATTTCCGCCAGATTCTCGCGGGCTATTTGCAGTACGCCTCGGTAAATGTCCGATTCAAGCCCTTCCCCGTTTAGCTTGGTATCCAGTTCGTGGGGCTCCAGCGTCTGGAAGTGGGCCTGACTGGCGTCGGAAAGTACCACGTCCACTTCCTTAATATGGTCCAGAGTCTTTCCGTAAATAACTGAATGGGCGCCGCAGGTATTGTTGCCAATGCCTCCGCCAACACAGGCGCGGTTGGAAGTGGTGGGGTCGGGAGCATATTGAAGGCCGTAGGGAGCCAGGTAACGGTTTAGCTGGTCAAGGACAATCCCGGGCTGTACCCGAACCCAGCTTTCCTCCCGGTTCAGTTCTATCACCTGGTTAAGGTACTTGCTGAAGTCCATCACGATGGCGTGGTTAACCGATTGGCCAGCCAGTCCTGTACCGCCCGCTCGCGGGGAGCACTGGTATTTCGTTCTCGCTGGCCAAGTCCACCACTGCCAGCACATCTTCAGCGCTGCGGGGAATAACAACGCCCACGGGTTCCATCTGGTAAATGCTGGCGTCGGTGCTGTACAACACGCGAGAAAAGGGATCAAAGCGTACTTCACCGGCAACTCGCCTTCGAAGTTCTTCTGCAATTTCGGTTCGCTCCGTGCCTTGAATCCTGCGACCCGCCGCGGTGGTGGCCATCGCTATTCCTCCCCAAACGCAAATTGCGGACAAAGCTGCGTATTGACGGTTAGTTTATCACAGTAGCAACGGCAAATTGGCTTCCCAATTTGGCGCCAGGAGAGTTGTCCCAACACCTGTTTTCGTTTGTAGTTGACCCTGCCCAATGTTAAACTTTCGCCTACCGTTCCTAGTCTGATTCGTCAGACGGTTTGCCCCCGAAAAAGCAGCCGGAGGGTGTTATGGCAATCCATACAGAAGACAGTGTAAAAGACCTCCAGCGTACTGCACTGGAAAATCTCTGGGTCTACCTGCGAGAGCCCAGCGATATGGCGGAGAAGGGAGAGCCCCAGATCTTCGTGGAGGGCAAGGGCTGCAAGGTAACCGATGCCCTGGGCAATACTTACATTGATGCCATGTCGGGCCTTTGGCTAAAGAACATTGGTTATGGTCAAACGGAGGTCGCCGACGCTGCATACGAGCAGATGCTCAAGATTACCTATATGCCGATGGGTACCACCACGGAACCGGCAGTGCGGTTGTCAGAAAAGATCGCCTCCATCACCCCCGGCGACCTTTCCCGCTGTTTCTTTCACCAGCGGAGGGTCCGAGTCCGTTGAGACGGCTCTGAAGCTGTCCCGTGCCTACTTCAAGAGGATAGGAGAGCCTGAACGCACCAAGTTCATCAGCAGGAAAGACTCCTATCACGGAGCCACCTTCGGCGCTCTGGCGCTGGGGGGAAATTTCCTTTACCCCAAGACCGACTATGAACCCCTGATGCCCGGCTCTTTCCACGCTCCCCAACCTAACTTCTATCATTGCGAGTTCAACAGCAGCACTCCCGAGGAGTGCGGCCAGCGCTGCGTGGACGCAATCGAGAACATAATCCGTTTCCAGGGACCCGAGACCATCGCCGCCGTCGTGGCCGAACCCGTCTCCAGTCCCTTGGGCGCGGTGGTTCCCCCGGACAATTATTGGCCACTGCTGAGGGAGTTGTGCGACAAGTACGGCTGCCTGCTGATAGCTGACGAAGTAATCACCGGCTTTGGCCGAACTGGCAAGATGTTCGCCTGCGAGCATTGGGGCATTACGCCGGACATGATGACGGTCGCCAAGGGCATCACCAGCGGCTACATTCCCATGGGCGGGGCCATCCTCCGCAAGCCCATCGCCGATGCCTTCGTGGGCGGGCCTAATGCGGCTTTTCGCCACGTAATTACATTTGGCGGCCACCCGGTAGCAGCCGCTGCTTCCCTCAAGAACCTGGAAATTATGGAACGCGAGGGAATGGTGGAAAACTCAGCTCGAATGGGTCAATACCTGCTGGACGGCTTGGAAGAGCTTAAGCAGAAACATTCCATCATTGGCAACGTCCGTGGCCTGGGCCTGATGTGCGGTCTGGAACTGGTAAAGGACCGGGAGACCAGGGAACATTTCCCGTCAGATGCCGACCTGGGTCCGCGGCTCACCCAGGGGTTCGCCGACGACGGGCTGTTCCTCCGGGGCGGAGACGTGATGAACATCATGCCGCCACTTTGTGTTACTCCTGGCGAGATCGAACAGATCGTCTCCACGATGGACCAGGCAATCGGTAAGGTAGCCAGTGACCTGGGCGCCGCCTGACGTCTCACCGAAAAGGCTGGCAAAAATTCATAGTGGCCTGATGGACGAACTCCGGCCCGCGCGCTCGAAAGAGAGGGCCGGGCACTGAAACCCCCAGAAGGAGGCGGCGAAATGCCCGATAACCTTCCTTCCCAGGAAAATATCGCCTTTTTCAATGGACAACTGCTGCCGGAAAGGGATGTAGGAATTTCGATTCGCGACCGAGGGTTCATCTACGGAGACGCAGTTTTTGACGCCACTCGCACATTCAACGGCCAGACATTCAAGCTCCGGGAACATGTAGAACGACTGTACAATTCGTTGCGCTACCTTCGGATTGACCCGGGTATAGACCCTGCAAAAATGGAGCGGTGGTCCCTTGAAGTAGTAAACCACAACTATCCTCTGCTGCCCCCGGGTCAGGATATGTGGGTAATGCAGCGGATCAGTCGCGGCGTCGAATCGTCGGAGCCGGGAGCGGAGTCGCGACCCACCGTTCTGATTGAAAGCCACGCCATACCTTTCGCTCGTCGAGCCTCTCTTTACCGCGATGGTATCAGGGTCGTAACGCCTTCCGTACCGCGCATCCCTCCCCGGTTTGTCAGTCCCCGGGCCAAGACTCACAATTATCTGAACCTGATCATGGGAGAACTGGAGGTCCACGAGACTGACCCCGATGCCTGGGCCGTGCTGCTGGACGAGTCAGGCAACCTTACTGAAGGCAAGGGCAGCAATATTTTCTTGGTCAAGGACGGCACTGTAGCTACACCCCAAGGTCGTTTCGTGCTGGAGGGTATCACTCGCAGCGCAGTGCTGGACCTGGCGTCCGGCCTCAGCCTGCCTGTTGCCGAGGAAGACCTCGACTTGTTCGACGCCTATACTGCCGACGAAGCTTTTCTCACTTCCACCAGCCTGTGCATCTGTCCCATTTCTTCCATAAACGGAGCCAGGATAGGAGACGGCAAGGTGCCAGGGCCCGTTACCAATCAACTGATGGCCGCGTTCAGCGATATGGCTGGAATGGATTATGTGAACCAATACCTGTCGCACTTGCCTTCCTGACACCTCGGTGGCAGCCGGAATGCCCGGAGCCGACAGCGCTCCCCTAAATCATGCAGCATGGAGGTCACCATGGCGGACAACTTGGACCGGATTGTAGAAACATCGACTGCGGAATGCCTGGCTACCGGGTTCGTATTCACTGAAGGCCCCCTCTGGCATCCCGACGGCTATTGGCTGTTCGTGGACGTTCGAAGGGAGCCGGGCGCCATCTTTAAGCTGGTCCCTGGCGGCCAAACCGAAATCTTTCGGGAACCTAGCAACGGTTCCAACGGCCTTACCTTCGATCTGGAAGGGAGGCTGGTTATGTGCGAGGGCGACGGACGGCGAATGAGTCGCCGGGAGCACGATGGCACCATTACACCCCTTGCAGAGCAGTGGGAAGGCAAGCGCCTCAACCGGCCCAATGATGTGGTCTGCCACTCCGACGGCAGCATCTACTTCACCAACCCGGGAGGCCGTGTGCCTGCCGAAGAACGTGAGATTGACTTCAGTGGCGTTCATCGCATCGCGCCCGATGGTACGGTCACAGCAGCTATTACCGACACCGAGTACCCCAACGGCCTCGCCTTCTCACCCGACGAAACTGTTCTGTACGTTACAAATACACGCGAAAGAATGTACATCGCGGCCTACGATGTGCTTCCGGATGGAACGGGATCAAATGGCCGGGTCTTCGCCGACATGTCTTCGGACGAGCCCGACGGCGTACCTGACGGAATGAAGGTCGATTCGGCAGGGAACGTCTACAGCACCGGCCCCGGCGGCTGCTGGGTCTTTGATGCTCTTGGTAATCATCTTGGCATAATTCGCCTGCCGGAAATTCCCGCCAACTGCGCCTGGGGCGGTCCCGACAACCGCACCATGTTCTTCACGGCCCGAACGTCGGTGTACACCTTGCGGATGCAGAATACCGGAATCTCCCCGTGGCGCGGGGGCTAGTCGGGAAAGGTGTTGCCGAAGGGCTGGAAATCATTTTCGACTGGCGACCGGGAACCGGTGTGGAACGAATTGTTGACCGCGCTCCCTGTAGTCTTGAACAGACTATTCACTTCGCTGGAAAAGCCGTGTGGGGGAATAAAGGTGGACTATCCCACTCTGGGAAGAAAGAGAGTTTGGGCCTGATCAATGGGCTATATCACAACCGCTGAAACTCCATCAATCGGCAACATTTACGAATGATCTGGCTCCTCGTTGCCGCCGGCGGCGCTGCCGGTTCAGTATTGCGATTAGCCGCGGGACGGGTTGCCGTTCACTTCCTTGGATCCGGCACGGTATGGGGAACTTTCTTCGTAAATGTAACCGGTTCCTTCTTACTGGGCTTCTTTCTTGCCTATGCTCTCCAGAGAAATAATATTTCCGCCGATATTAGGGCGATGGTTGCTGTTGGGGTTCTGGGAGGATACACAACCTTCTCCACCCTCAGCTACGACACTGTTCGCCTGTTGGAATCGGGCGAGCTAACGCGGGCAGGCTTGTACATTGGCGCCAATCTATTGATTGGATTGGGAGCAGCATATCTGGGCATTCTCTCGGGACGGGCGGTGTAGGTGCGGTGGCACATCCACTTCTTGTTACCCGTATTGGCGAATGTTAAACTTGTACGTGAAAGACTCCTCCACTGACTTTCCCTCTAACTAATCCATTGATTTTCTCCCGGGGATCAGACCCGCGCCGCCGGGAATCTTCCAACAAGGCTGTCTGATGAGCTATTTGAACCTCCACGGGAAACCGGACAAGAAGTTTGACCACCTGATCATTGCCTTTGCCGGGTGGCCCGACGCCGGAGAGAGCGCCACCTCCAGTTTGAAGTACATGCTGCGCGACCTGGGGGCCACCAAATTCGCCGACATTGACCCCGAGGAATTCTACGACTTTACCCAGGAACGTCCGAGGTCATATCGCACCCGTGACGGACGGCGCCGGGTGCGCTGGCCCTCAAATGAATTTTATTACTGGTTGCCGCAGCAGCCCGCAACGTCAGGCTCTTCCAAGGGTGCCCTCTTTTTCATGGGAGTCGAGCCAAACCTGAAGTGGCGCACCTATTCGGAAACCATCGCCAACCTGGCCCTGGACCTGGGTGTGAGAACTGTGGTGCATATGGGTGCCCTGCTTGACGCCGTTCCCCATACCAGGCAAGTAAAGCTTACCGGGTCATCAACCCTGCCCTTGTTACAGGAAGCGCTGGAATCGGCGAACATTGGAACTTCAAACTACCAGGGACCAACGGGAATCAGCACCTCGGTAATGGAAACCTGCACCAAGAAGGGCATGAGTTACGCCTCTCTCTGGGGCCACACTTCTCATTACCTCCAGGCGGCGCCCAACTACCGGGTTTGCTATACCCTGGCAGATACCATTTCCAGGATCCTGCAACTCCCGGTTAACCTGAAGGAATTGCGCTCGGCGGCAGATAAGTTCGACCAGGAAGTGATTCAGGCAATTGGAAAGGACGATCAACTCGAGAGTTACGTCAAGAAACTGGAAGACCGTTACGACGAATCTCTCGCCGACAGTCCCATGCCGGAACCGGCAGACGTAGTGCGGGAACTGGAGCAGTTCCTACGTTCGGAGCAGCGCAGGAACTTTGGGGGAGCGAGTTAGCCAGCTACGAAAGAATGAGGGTGCTTGGAACGCGCCCCGAAGCGGAGCTTTTTAACAGGTACTATCCCCAAGTCCAATCCATAATTGCGGAGTAGGCTTGTGCCGGCAAAAGCCTCCAAAACCGAAGAAAAGGCTGTGGTAAAATCTCCCAGTCCCACTCCCCGCCGGCGTGGGCGCAGGAAAGCCGTGCCGACCATCGCCATCAACGAAGCTATCCGGTTGATGACAGAGGAATACGGACCCTTTCCCGATGAACCCCGTCTCGACCCTGTCCACGAACTGACCTTTACAATTCTTTCCCAGCACACCTCCGACACCAACTCTGAACGGGCGTTTCGCAGCTTGATGCTAGAATTCGGTTCGCTTGAGGCAGTCGCCGCTGCTGATGTGTCGAGAATAGAGTCGGCAATCAGCGGTGGCGGGCTTGCAAAGATCAAGGCTCCCCGAATCAAGCAGGTGCTGTCCCGGATATTGGAGTTGAACGGCACGCTAGATCTTTCCTTCCTGCGGGAAATGCCCCTGGAAGATGCCAAGGCATGGCTCCGGCAACTGCCAGGCATCGGACCCAAGTCTGCCGGCATAATATTGAGCTTTTCCCTCGGTATGCCGGCCATGGCAATCGACACCCACATTTACCGGGTCTCCCAGCGGATGGCCCTGATAGGCCCCAAAGTTTCAGTAGACAAAGCCCACGACCTATTGGAAGCGGCCGTAGAACCGGAGCAGGTTTATCCCTTCCACCAGGCATTTATCAACCACGGCAGAACGGTTTGCAAAGCCCAGCGGCCCCGCTGCCAGGAATGCGTGGTTGGACACGGTTGCCCTTCCCGTGAGCAGTTCATAAAGGCGTCCGAAAAAAAGAGCACGGCAGCCGCAAAAGCAAAGGTAAGGCAAACCAAGTCCACCGAAACAAAGCGAACCAGGGTGGCCACTCAAGCCCCCCATGCTTACCCAACGATTGAGTGAGCAACACTCCTTCCCATCGTCCCCGACTTCCCCATCGCTGAACTGATTCGCCATCGCCGCCCAGTGCAATTGCAAGCGGGTCCCATTGGTGGTCATTCTTGATTATTCGCGTATCAACCCTTCACTCAATTACTTGGCGGGCAAACATACAATGGGTCCGCTGAAAACCGGGACTGGACAGCCCTTGTTACCCCCTTCTACCATGGTTTATGTAACGCCGTACGCCCCTTCCCTGTACCGGCTACCCACCGGCAGAGAGTCATTGGGGGAAGTGGTGGGAGAAGTGTTTTCCTTCATGTTTATTCAGGATTCCTGTTCCCAGGCGGCAAATGGGTGGAAATGAGCGAAAATGGCGGGAAAGTTAAATTTTCTGCGCCACCCTGCCGTCGGTCAATTCCGTCCGGCAAAGCCCGGCACTTGAAATGCGTTATACCTGCCAGGTCGTTCCGGACACGTTGGCATACTTGCTCCAATGTAGTAGAATCTTGTTGTGTGCCCCGGTCGTCTAGCCAGGTTAGGACGCCACCCTTTCAAGGTGGAGATCAGGGGATCGAAGCCCCTCCGGGGTACCATTTTTCCTGCAGCAACTTGGCACACTACCATAGACCTGTTACTGCCTCAATGTTCGCCTCAACGGACCTTTAACCAGTGCCTGGCCCGGATGGGCAGGCTTACGTATTTACCCCTTTGGAGACGCGGTGCTGAAGCACAACTTCTTAAGACTGAACCGAATCTTTGGTAGGGAAGCCGCCGCAACGGTGCCCGGTGCTCAGGGCACGAATACGCTGGAAGAAACAACTTGTCCCCATTGCGGAGCCAGTATTCCCAGGTCCCGGCGCTGCCCCGCTTGCAACAACGTTACCTTCGCTTTGCCCCGGTGGGCTGCAGGCGGGAGAGACCGACGATTATTCACCCGGCGCCGGCTAATTATCAGCGGTTGCACTCTTGCCGTCCTTCTATTTGTCCTGTGGCTGAATTACCCGTTCATGCCCAACTATCGCATTCTATTGTTCAACCGTCCGGCCACCACCGTTTCGTCATCCTCGACCGTGAACCAGTGGTCAATGGCCGGCGGAGACGTAGCCCAGCGAAAGGTAGTTCGGTCTGATACAGGCTCTGTAGCCCTGCCGGTTGGCAAGCTCCAGTGGAGTACGCCTACGGGGGAGGGGACGAGAGCCGGGCCCATAGTTGCCGACGGAAAGGTTTACCAGGGAGCTTACTTTAAGATTGTGGCCCTGGACGCCAACACTGGCGAAGAAGTCTGGTCTCAGCCAACCTCCGGCCCGGTACAGGCTTCGCTGGCCCTGGCAGGCGCCAAGCTTTATGCCGGATTCCTTGATCATAGGCTAAGGGCCATGGACCCCGAAACGGGGGAAATACTATGGGATTTTAGGGCGGGGGACATCATTACTTCCTCCCCGGTTGTGGACGAAGGAGTTGTATATTTTGGCGCATGGGATAGTAAGCAGTACGCGCTGGATGCTGCTACCGGGACAGAAATCTGGACTTACGAAAGTACGGAAAAAGTGGGATCTAGCAGTCCGATCTACAATGGTGTGATGGCCGTACCCGACAAGGGCGGGCGAATCCACCTGCTGAACGCCCGTACCGGCCAAAACCGGCTCGTCTACCGCACTCCCAGGTCCACCAACGCTGCTCCGGTTATTGCCCATGGGCACGTCTACTTTGCAGCCGGCGGTCGCCTCTACGCCATCGACGCCAGTGAGAAAGAAGTACCGGGACAATATCACTTCAAGAGAGTTTGGGCCCAATTCTGGTTGTGGCAAGTACCGGGTGTGCCCAAGCCCGCTCAACAGCAGGGAGGCCGGTGGCGTTTCTCTCCCGATGAGGCAGAGTCCACCATAGTAGCCTCCCCAGCCGTGGCAAATACCGGCCTATATGTAGGAGATTTGCTCGGCCGCCTATATGCTGTTGACCCATTATCCGGCGCCGAACAATGGCGCTTCGAGGCCACTGGCGGCATACATGCATCTCCCATAGTTGCAGGGAACTTGGTTTACATTGCAACCCAGCAGGGACATGTTTATGCGATTGACCGCGGATCTGGCGAGGCCGTTTGGGAATTGTCCCTGGGGACCGGAGTGAACGAACCTTTGGCTTTCGCCGGCGGTGTGTTGTACTTACGCACCTCAGATGGTACGGTTCATGCCATTGAGTAAGGCTGCAAGAAGATGTGCGCCGCTCCTTAAAGAAACGGAGACCCCATTTTGGCAACATATGAAGATATAGTCGCCAGCTTGAGCCAGGCGGTCGAACGGCTGGAGACGGACAATGTGGAGCTTAAGGCCTCCATCGCCAAGCTGCAAAAGCAGGTGAGGCAGCGGGAGTTGGATGCGGCTTATATGTACATCCATTCCAACTGGCTTTGGATTCGCTGGTTTCTGGTCCGCGACCAGGACCGGGCTGGGGACAATACCGATCTGCTGGATAGAGCTAAGGCCGCTGAGTCCACGATCCGTGACAATCTGGCCCGCAGCCTGCGCTCAGTTCAATTCGACCCGGAACCCATGCAGGCTGCTTACCGGTGGCGAATCGAAACTACTGTCATCCTTAACCGACAACGCTACACCTTCTTTGACTAGGCCTTCCTCGTAATTCTTTGCGAGTAGGCCTACACCAGGTCATCCCGTCGATGCCCCTCCACTCTGGGCCAAGTTCGCAGTTGAACCTGCGGAGAGAATAGGCTATGGTTTTTCGTGACAAAGAAGCACTCCAGCGTGTTATCTGAAACGAATGAGGCCAAAGGAGAGTTAAATGGCAGGAGACAAAGAGACTTACGAAATAGAATTGAACCCGGATCAAATGGGCTTTGTAACATCTATGAAGGACAAGTACGAACTAGCCGATGAAGGCAAAGTTATGCGGATAATCATGGACTACCTGATTTCCAACTCAGACGTTCACGACACCGTATTCACTCAAGTACGTTGCCTTCGTTGCGGATAACCCGGTCCAATGCATGGCAGGGTTGCACTGTTGAATTAGAGTAGTCAGATCAATCGGAAATTCGAGCCGGTCGGGTCCGTACCACAGAGTGGTAAAGGGCTCGTCCGGCTTTTCCGTGTAACCCTGCTGCTCGAAGGGTTCGAAGTGTCGGGGACCTTCCCCTATTTTCGTTATCCCGCTAACTGCTGCTTCAAGCCCACCAGGGCCAGATAGTAGCCATAGACACCGAAACCATACACGGAGCCCTTGCAAACGGGCTGAACCGCTGAAACCCCGCCTCGGGATGCCGGGTTAGAAGCGTGGACCTCAATCACCGGATACCGGACCTGGGCTATGGCTGCGCGAAGAACCCCGTTGAGGGAAGTGTAACCGGCGGGATTGATGACTGCGGCATCCACGTCGCCGTCGTGGCCTGCATAGAGGGCATCCGCCACTTCACCTTCCACGTTCGAGTGAACGAATTCAACATCGAGGCCCAGGCTCTCGGCATAGCCCTTCACCTGCTCGTTAATTTCCGGCAAAGTCATAGGGCCAAATATTTCAACCTGCACTTTGCCCCTCATATTCATTCCCGCACCTTGAATCATCAGGATTTTCGCCATATCAGACTCCTTATAAGCCTATGTATCGATACCAGATTAATGGGATAGCCTAACAAATACTGTTAACGACTTCCCAAGCCAACAGAATATAAACCCTCAAATGGGCCGAAGCAAGGTAAGGGGACGTAGAGCAAAGAAAGAGGCTTACCCATCAAGGAACAGGCATCAAGTTGGTCGAGCATACACAACTTGGCGCGTTTGGCCCCGGGCGAGGGGGGTAAAGATCAGTGCGGGAATAAGTAGCACAAGTCCAACAACAGCATTGAAAGTAATTGCCAGTGGTGTCCCGTAGATCTCCGCCAGGATTCCAATTGCTAGCGCTCCGAGGGGAGTTCCGATGCCGATGCACACACTCATCAATCCGACCATACGGCCCCGCATGTCCGGGGGAGCCGAAAGCATGGTAATGGTGCTCTGCATAGTGCCAAAGCAGGACTGACCCACGCCCGCGATTATCAGTACACCGAAGGCAAGCAAGTACCAGGGCGACCACACGAAGGCGATGGCCATCAGCAACACTACCGTAGAGCCCAGCATGAAGACCAATCCATGTCTCTGCAGGTTGCGGGTTAGCGCCATTGCCCCTGCGCCGGCCATTTGTCCAATCCCTTCTCCCGCTACTAACAACCCCACCAGAGTGGCTCCCACCCCAAGGTTGTTGGCGCCAATGTCAGGGATGAATTGCTGCAAAGGAAAAGCGAGCGCGTTCATTATTATGGTCACGTAAAGCATGCCCCACAGCAAAGGTGTGGCCAGCGCATATCTAATAGCGCTGCTCAAGCTGCTCCATACGGGTTCCAGTGTGGTGGTTCGTTCTTTTTGCGGGATGCGTACCCTGGTCATTACCCCCAGGTCAATCAAGTGCACTAATACAATCAGGCTGCAGGCCCCCACGTAGCCTCCAGTCTCAATCGAAACGCCGCCGACCATCGATGAGATGAGCGGGCCCGAAGTATCGATCATGATTCCAGCCAGGAGGGGGCCCAGCATCTTGCCTGACGTGTTGCTGATGGTATCCAGCGACAGCGCATTTACCAGTCGACGCTCCCCGACGATATCCAGTATGCCAGTGCGCCGGGAGGGATCTTCCAGGGATTTGGTAGCACCCTGAACGAATACTGCGGCGTAGACGTGCCAGGCTGCTATAGCATCGGTAACTATCAAACCCAGAACCACACCCGCCACCGCAGTATTAATTACCTGGGATAGCATGAGAATGCGCCATCGGTTGAAACGGTCAGCAATGAAGCCGGTAAACAGAGAAAGGACCGGGCGCGGCAAGTTGTTGAACACCAACACAAGACCCAATTGCAGTGGAGACCCGGTAGATTGAAGGATGAGCCATCCCAGAACCAGCAGTTCCATCCGGCGGGACAACTCCCTCAGAGTGCCGACATACCAGATGGCCCGAAAGTCCCGGTCTTGTAGAATTGTGAATACCGGGGCGTCTGCCCGGGGTCTAAACCTCAAGATGCTCCCGCCTGCCCAACATCCACTTCAACCACCGATCCTGGGTTCGGTAATTGTAGCTCATGCATGGCTTGGCTCCGCTGAGTTTCTGGGGCCGATGTATAGAACTTTTGCCCAGGTTGGCTTGACGAAACTACATGCGAACAGGCGACCCTATCCCACCGACCTGTTTCAGTCAGGCACCAGCCCGCCACAAGAAGTGGTCCAGGCGTGGACATGCCATCAAGCAGTCAACAGTTGTTAGAATCGCTCTCCGCCAATCCAATGCTCTTTCTCCCACTTACCAAGCTTTGACACTCGTGGTGATTGCCATATGCCAAAAACGTATTTCGTAAACTTATCGCATTATTAGCATAAGTAGCTACAAGTTTGCTGATTTTTCTCCTTTTAGGTTGCAATTATTGAATTTGGTGGGTATATATTGTTGCCATAGGGTAAAAGTTAGGTTTTCCATGGCTGTTTCTGCGTGGGCGCTTCAAGTTTGTTGTCTCGGCACTGGTTGACCTAATGGACAAAATGATCAAACGCCCTAAGGAGGCCAACCGGTGGCACTTTCGGACAAGACTTTGGTATGCGTAGACTGCGGCGGTGAGTTTATTTTCACGGTAGGGGAGCAGGAGTTCTTCAATTCTCGGGGCTTTGTAAACGAGCCCAAGCGGTGCCAGTCCTGCAGATCCTCCAGACGCGCTGAACAGCGGGGTGGCTTCTCGGCGGGTCCCAGGGAAATGTTCCAGATTCAGTGTGCTGAGTGCGGCAACGAGGCCACGGTACCTTTCCGGCCCAGAGGAGACCGTCCGGTATACTGCAGCGACTGCTTTAGCAGGAATAGGAACACCATGTCTCAGTTCTAGCACCACGAACTTGTCATTTTGAGGAGGGAGAACCCAATTAACCTCCCCTCCTCTGAATTGACCCTTCCCTCCACAAGAGGGGCTTTTCTGTTTCGGATACCAGCTATTGGCTTCGGAAGGCAGCCCACAGTCGCAACTCGGCCTAAATCTGCACGTCCACAAATTGCCTATTCTTGCCAGGTAACCCTTCCCCACTGCTCCCTCTGAACGGACTTGCAATTGACCCGTTTCCTCTTTGCCAAACCTTGCCAACATTAGCCGATTAGAAGCCATTGGTTGATCATCCTATTCGCCGAGGGTAATGGTTGCCGACTTCTGAGGCTCGGCCAATACTGGTGCAACATTCGCCCATACCTCGCCGCCAAACACTTGAATCGACCTCTTCCGAAGGTTGCTGCCCTCAATCCGTCTCTATAGAATTGAAAGAGCCGATCTGCATGTACTGCCATGTGGGGTAGCTTTCGACAGTCGTGCTTAGTCTTGACCAGCGATCTTTTCTTCTCAAGGAAGCCTTTATGAATTACAGAGACCTGCGAGAGTTCATTACGTTCCTGGAGCAGCGGGGACAACTGCATCGCATTAGCGCGCCAGTGAGTTGCGAACTGGAAATGACGGAGATAGCTGAACGCATGATTAAGGGCGACGGCCCCGCACTCCTCTTCGAGAATGTGGCCGGCTACGACATGCCGGTTCTCATGAATATTTTTTGTTCAGACCAGCGGATGGCATGGGCTCTTGGAGTTGACCGGGTAGACGATCTGGTCTCCAGATTAGAAGGAATGCTCCAGCTGGCCCAGGGGGCCCCGGAAGGATTGATGAACAAGCTCCGTACCCTGGGGCAGATCATTCAAATGGGCCGCTTCCAGCCAAAGACGGTTACCCGCGCCCCTTGCCAGGAAGTGGTGCTGCAAGGTTCCGACGTTGACCTCTTCAAGTTTCCCATCCTTAAGTGCTGGCCCATGGACGGCGGCCGGTACATTACTCTGCCGCTGGTAATAACCAGGGATCCGGAAACCGGTACGCAGAATTACGGCATGTACCGGATGCAAGTCTATGACGCATGCACCACCGGAATGCATTGGCAGACTCACAAAGTGGGAGCCCATCATTACCGGGTGAGCCAGGAACGGAAAGACAACCGACTGGAGGTCGCGGTTGCTATTGGAGCAGACCCGGCAACCATGTGGACCGGCTCGGCGCCATTACCCCCAGACATGGACGAGATGGCAGTATCCGGATTCATTCGGGAAGAGGGAGTTGAGCTAGTCAAGGCCAAGACTGTAGACTTGCTGGTGCCAGCCCAGGCCGAAATTGTGCTGGAAGGGCACGTCTACACAGACGAACAGCGCATGGAAGGTCCCTTTGGCGACCATACGGGCTATTACTCAATGCCGGAAGAGTACCCCGTATTCCATGTTACTACCATCACCCACCGTAGAAACCCGATTTATCCCGCCACGGTGGTTGGCCGGCCGCCCATGGAGGACTACTGGATGGGCAAGGTGACCGAGCGTGTTTTCATGCCCATAATCAGGATGATAATGCCTGAAATCGTGGACATGAACATGCCAGCCGAGGGCGTCTTTCACAATCTCGTCATAGTTTCGATCAAGAAAGAATACCCCGGTCAGGCCCGGAAAGTAATGTATGGCCTGTGGGGGCTGGGCCTGATGAATCTCACCAAGACAATTATCGTCGTTGACGACTTCGTTAACGTGCAAGATCCTTCGGAAGTAACCTGGCGTGTGGCAAACAACATCAATCCCAGCCAAGACATAGTGATTGTCGAGGGGCCGCTGGACGACTTGGAGGTCGGGTCGCCCACTCCTAAATTTGGCGGCAAAGTCGGAATAGACGCAACCAGAAAGGGCCCTCTAGAGGGCTACACCCGGGGTTGGCCTCCCGACATCGAAATGTCACCGGAGGTCAAGACCCTGGTTGACAGCAGATGGAAAGAGTACGGATTCAGTTAGCTAGTAGCAACTGGAAGATAACAGGTCCAGGCAACTCCGTTTGGGCCACGTCAACCGTCTAAAATGCTCGAGCTATTATGCAAAACACCGGAACCAGCCGCACCTGGACAGGCTCCTTGCTTGGAAGGGTTTCCCTTTACGCAGGCTCAATACGCATTTGGGAATCTCTCTTTGCCCTGCCCTTCGCCTATATCGGCATGACACTGGCCTCACAATCCGCAAACGGCCAACCCTGGCCCGGTTGGCCCGCGTTTGTCTGGATCACCGTGGCTATGTTTGGCGCACGCACTCTCGGCATGTCGGCCAACCGCCTGATCCATGCCAGGGAAGACCTGGCCAATCCACGTACAGTAGAGCGTCATCTGCCCAGGGGACTGCTAAAGTCATGGGAAGTGGCGGCCATGGCCGTTATTGGTTTGCTCATACTCATTGTCGGTGCCGCACAGTTGAACCCGCTTGCACTGTTACTCTCTCCATTAGCGGCCGCCTATGTGGTGTTTTATTCCTACGCCAAGTACTTCACCTGGCTGTGCAATTTCTGCCTGGGCTGGGCGCTCGCTATTGCGCCAACTGCAGCGTGGATCGGTGTCACCGGCAGCTTGTCTTATGAGCCACTCCTGATTAGCTTTGCCGTGGCAATGTGGGCCGGAGGGTTCGATATCATCTACGCCTGCACCGATTTTGACTTCGACCGAGGATTTGGGACACGTTCTGTGCCGAGCTACATAGGCATAGCCGAGTCGCTCTGGTTGGCCCGTATAATGCACTCCCTGTCGGTGTGCGCCCTGCTGGCCCTGGGTCTGCTGACCGGGTTGGCGTGGCCTTATTACATAGGCTGGGTCGTTGCAGTCCTGCTCTTGATATACGAGAATAGACAGGTAAGTCCAACCGACCTGTCAAGAATTAGCGCCGTATTTTTCAGGGTGAACGGATATGTTTCAGTGCAGTTAATGGCCTTTACGATATTGGCCCTGGTGGTGTGAAATGGCCATCCGACAGGAGACTGGGATGTCGAGGCTGTCCGCACCCAAGCCTATAATTGTGGGTGTTTCCGGCGCCAGTGGATCCATTCTGGCCCGCGCCACCGTTGAAGCGCTCCTGTTGCGTGATGTACCCACGATTGTGGTTTGCACCAATGCCGCCCGCCTGGTCTGGCAGGAGGAACTCGACACACCCTTCGGGGAAACCCTGTCGGAGTGGCAGGAACACCCCCGTTTCACCTACTATCCCATGGGAGACATGCGAGCATCCATTGCCAGCGGGACCTTTGCCACCCGCGGCATGGTTATAGTGCCCTGCAGTATGAACAGCGTCGCCGCCATAGCCCACGGCCTGGCCGGAAACCTGCTACTTCGTGCCGCCGACGTTTGTTTGAAGGAACGCAGAAAGTTGATACTGGTTCCCCGGGAAACACCTCTTCACGCCACTCACTTTGGAGAACATGCTTTCACTCACGCGCGCCGGGGCGGTGATAATGCCCCCGGAACCGGCCTTCTATCTGAAACCGCAGGGCATCGACGATATCGCCCAGTTCGTGGCCCAGAGGGTACTTGTTGCGCTGGACATTGAAGAGGAACTGCCTCCAGAGATGCGGTACCACGAAGAAACTCTTCCCGAATAGATATGCCAACCCAACCGCGGGGTACTCTCAAAGAATATGGCCAACCTGACCGGCGAAGCAAAGCAAACGTATGTGGCGGACCTTTTCGCTCGCATTGCCCGGCAGTACGACTTGATGAACACCCTGATGACCGGAGGCATGCATCATCGCTGGAAGCGACGAACTGCCCAACTCACCGCCCGCGGGCTTACCGGACCGGCACTGGACATCGCTACTGGAACAGGAGATTTGGCTTTCTGCCTCGCCCGACAGGACGGAATTAACACAGCATTGGGCGTAGACCTCCTTCCGGCAATGATTGCGCTGGCACAGGATAAGAAGAAAAACACCGGCACTCCAGCAAAGGTTGATTTTGCGCTGGGTGATGCGCTGGCCCTCCCTTTTGAAGACGGGTCTTTTGTCTGCGCTACGGCAGGATTCAGTCTCCGGAATATGCCCGATCTGCCAGCGGCGATAGCGGAAATGGCCCGCGTGGTCCGCCCTGGCGGTCGAGTAACGACCCTGGAGCTTAGCCCCATGTCCCCGGGTTTGAAAGCGACTCTGTTTCGCATGTATTTCCACCGCGTGGTACCCCTGGTCGGCCAAATTGTGGCCGGAGAACGCACCGCTTACACCTACTTGCCGCAATCCGTTGATTACTTTCTACAAGCCGACCGTCTTTCCGATCTCTTTGGGGACGTCGGCCTCGTTGACGTTAGTTTCCAGAAGCTGGGGTTCGGAACTGTGGCAATCCACCAAGGCACCAAACCGACACCGTAATCGGTAACGATCGATACATGGACATCTGCCAGGTGGAGGTCTCCACTGCGATTATCAATCATCATTTCCCGACATTCGACGTTATTTCCGAGAATTTTACCTAAAGCCCTTGTTGGCTTCCGGTACTTGGTATAAACTTGTAAATAGTTCGCCGACAGGCGGACAGGGTAGCGTTGCATTTTTCTCCAACAGGTAGAAATATGAGGTCCATATTCGATAAATTGGACTCTATAGTTCGAAGAAACGCTGAGATCGAGGCCGACATGGGACGGCCGGAAGTAGCAGCCGATTTCGAACAGATCCAGACCCTGGCCAAGGAAAGAGCCGGCCTCGAAGAGCTGGTGGAAATTGCCCATCTGCATCATTCCTTGCTCAGCGAGGAGGCTGACCTCAAGGCGTTGGTTGCTGAGGGGGGCGATCCCGAAATAGGCCAGATGGCACGAGAAGAGCTGGAGGCCGTCGAAATTCGGCTTGAAGACCTGGCCCAAGAGCTCAAACTGGCTCTCTTGCCGAGGGACCCAAACGACGAAAGGGACGTCATTGTAGAGATTCGCGCCGGCACCGGAGGTCAGGAAGCAGGGCTTTTCGCAGGTGATCTGGCACGCCTTTACACCCGATATGCCCAACTACAGAATTGGCGGGTCGACGTTATGGACTCCAATCCGTCCGACTTGGGCGGTTTCAACAAGGTAGTTTTGGAGATACAGGGCAAGGGTGCTTTCAGTCGGCTCAAATACGAGCGTGGCGTGCACCGTGTACAGCGTGTGCCGGAAACCGAGGCCCAGGGACGGATCCACACTTCGACGGCAACGGTAGCGGTGCTGGCGCAAGCCGACGAAGTAGAAGTAAAGGTCAATCAAGACGAAATAAGGATCGATATATTCCACGCAGGTGGTCATGGCGGCCAGAACGTAAACAAGGTTGCCACAGCGGTGCGCATCGTACACGAACCCACGGGAGTAGTAGTTGTTTGCCAGGACGAGCGCTCCCAGCACAAGAACAAGCAGAAGGCCATGGCAATGCTAAGGGCCAGGCTATTTGAGGCCGAGCAGGAAAGGCACGACGCCGAAATCTCCCAGAACCGCCGCTCACAAGTTGGCACTGCCGAGCGTTCCGAGAAGATACGGACCTACAATTACCCCCAGGACCGGATAACCGACCACCGAGTTTCATCCAGCTTCCACGGCATACCCAGCATCATGGATGGTCCGGGACTGGGCGACATTATCAGTTCCCTGATTGCGTGGGAGCAGGGGAAGCTTCTTGAAGAGGTGACGGCTTAAGCCGTATTCGCCGTCATGCCCCTCTTACGAGAAGCCGTCCAACAGACCCACCGCACTCTCGAAGCAAGCCACATCCCTGACGCACGGCTTGAAGCCGAAGTGATGCTGATGAACGTCATGCGGTTGCAGCGTCACGACCTCTTTTCGCAGCAGGAAACGGAAGTATCCCCCCAACAGGAAGAAGCGCTGGCGCACATTTTGGAGCGCCGGCTACAGCGAGAACCCCTGGCATATATTCTTCAATACAAAGAGTTCTATGGCGTCAACCTGCTGGTCAACACTGATGTGCTGATTCCGCGACCAGAAACTGAGTGCATGGTGGAGCATGCACTTTTCATGGCGCTTATGGGAATGGAAACGCCGAAATTGGTAATCGCCGACGTGGGAACCGGTACGGGCGCCATCGCCATTAACCTGGCTATGCATCTGCCGGCCGCCCGCATCTTTGCCGTGGACTATGCCGACGCCGTCCTGGATGTGGCCGCCTATAATATTCGGGCCCACAACGTAGGCGACCGGGTAACCTTGGGAAAGGGCGACCTTCTTGAACCCATTCCTGAGCCGGTGGACTTGATTCTGGCCAATTTGCCTTATGTACCCAGCGGCCGCATCCCTGATCTGCAACCTGAGATCCGCTGGGAACCACAGCAAGCCCTGGATGGTGGACCGGATGGCCTGGACCTCATTCGCAGGCTGTTGCAGCAGGCTCCGTCGAAGTTAAAGGAACATGGTATCGTATTGCTGGAACTAGACCCTGAACAGGTTCCAGCAGTACAAGCCATGGCTGAAGAGATCTTCCCAGAAGCGGAAATGTCCGTGGAAAAGGATTTGGCCCAGCGAGACCGCATATTTGTAATCAACCGGGGAATGGAATACTGCTGATCTAATTCTTCTCACCGGCGGAACATTTGCACCAAGAGAGGGGCAGGAACTTATCCTGCCCCTATTCATTTGACTATCCAGGCAATCCGGAGTGACATGCAGAGTCGGCCCGCATAGTCTAAAACCGTTCAATCAGGCCAGGCCAACTCCAAGGTAGTCACCCGCAGAGTTTCCATATCGGCCACCCTCACCTGGTGGTTGTTTGTGTCGGCGATAAACATCTTGCCGCCGGCAATACTCAGGCCGCTTGGTTCAGAAAAGGCTGCTTCCAGCGCGCCCCCGTCCAGGTAGCCCGCCTTACCTGTGCCCAACAGGGTCTCCGAAGACCTTGGGACGGGCATTATCAGCTTGATCTTATGGTTGTATGTGTCGGCAACATACAGAGCCCCATCTCTGTATGTAATTCCCAGCGGATGCTGCAGCCGGACATGGTGGCCCTCTCCGTCCCTGTCGCCGAATTCAAACAGCCCCAGTCCTATAATTGTACGAACTCTGCCATTAGGTTCCAGTTCGGCCGAGCGGATGGAACTGGTTTCGCTGTCGGCAAAGTAAAGGCGGTTCCCGTCGGTTGTGATGCCACTGGGCTGCGCCAGCGTGGCCTGGTCCATGGCCCCGTCGCTGATGGACTCGCCGCCGGACCCGGCGTAGGGTCCCACGAGGCCCAATTCCAGGTCCATCACCCACAGTTGATGACAGCCAGCCATGGCAATAAAGAGCTTATTGTCATGAAATGCCAGATCCCATGGCGAATTCAGCTCTGTGGACAAACCAGGGCCATGGCCCTTCGCGACGGTTACCCTGATTGCCGTTACCCGCAAGGGTCGTAACAGTGCCCGCCACCAAATCGACCTTGCGCAACGCATGGTTCTCGGTGTCGGCAACGAAGAGTGCATCCCCTTCCAATTCCATCCCCTGGGGATGGTTGAACAGGGCAGAGGAAAAGTCGCCGTCGGCCAAACCCTCTTCACCTGATCCTATTACGGCGGTTACCTTGCCTGCCAGGGAAGCGACCACTATCCGGTTGTGGTTGGTATCGGCAATAAACAGGCGATCGCCGGTTTCGTCGGCCAGCACCTTGCCTGGAAAAGACAGAGGTGTTGTTGGCTCTGGCTCCCTGGCAATCGCAACTGGCTTTCGGTCCAGTTGGCCCTGTTCATCAAACTCCGCGACCATTTGACCCAGCAAGCGGTCCATATCTTCGTAGGACATCTCTCCTTCGTGCTTGCCGATAACTTTGCCCTCGGGGTCAATGAACATCATGGTTGGCCAGGCCCGGCAGGCATATTCCTGCCATACCTGGAATTCGGCATCATTGACCACCGGATGTTCAAGTTCGCACCGCTTGACCGCCTTGTAGAGGTTCTCCTTTTCCTTCTCGTTAGGGAACTTGGCGGAATGGACGCCGATAACCATCAGTTCTTCGGCGTACTTGCGTTCCAGTCTCCGCAACTGCGGAAAGATGTGCATGCAGTTGATTCAACAATAGGTCCAGAAGTCCAGCAGGACTATTTTGCCCCTCAGCTCCGCCATGGTAAGCGGTCGGTCGGTATTGACCCACTCCAATCCTTGAGGGAAATCAGGGGCATTCACCTTGCCGGCAAAGGACCTGCTAGTCATGACTAACTCTCCAACAATGCGAAAACTGGAACACCAGAACCGTAAACGCCTCTAACGCGCAGCTTACTCAAAAGCCAGGGTGGCGTGGCGGAAGAAGATGGAGCCCACAGGGTCGCCCAATGGAGCATTGCCAACCAGCACGGCAATCACGTGCTCCTTGCCCGGTTCCGCTGAATCCGAAACTGCCACGCGCTTGGAAGTGTTGTTGCCGGTTATAACGCCAATGTTCCGGTCTATGGCGCCATCGACATAGACTTCTCCGTAGTTGTCTACGTTGCATTCGAAGAACACCCGGTTGCCGGCCGATGCTTGTCCCTTGACACTTTCCGGCATGGTAAAGGACAGGCGGTACCAGGCAAAGGTGAATCCTACGGACAGCCTTTCCTGAATGGAATCAGGCTGCTCCCAGCCGGAATCGTCGTACTCGGGCAGGCGGGCAGGAACCCCGCGCATTTCCGCCACCAGACCCTGATTCGGTTCGCCGGGTACCATACCCATGCCGCGCCGCCAACCGGCAGCGCCCAATACCTGCAGGTCACCCTTGTCGTCCAGGTCGAGAGATACTCTTGCCATCGTTCAGTCCTCCAAAAAAATTCGCTCTAATTGCAACTTACTCGAGCTCTAGCTGAGTCAGGAAGCCAACCATTTAACTCTTAGGTTCATTACCCCAGGTTTGAAGCGAAGAAATCCAGGGTGCGTGGCCACGAGGCATCTGAAGCCTCCTTGTGGTAGCGGTCAGTCGTAAAGTCCATGAAGGCGTGGTTGGCGCCTGGGGTAGGTATAAAACTGGTGCGCCTTACCCAGACTGGTCAATTCGGCGTCAAACTTCCGCATGTCGTCCTGCGAAGGATTCTCGTCCACCTCGCCAAAATGGAAAAGGACAGGACAGTCAATGTTCGCCGCCATTTCAAAGGGGGGCTTCGTCCCAGCGCCCCAGGGAACCAACAGGTTGCCGCCATAATAGGGCGCCAATGCCTTGAAATGAGGGTTGGATGCAGCACCCAGCCAGGCAACTCGCCCGCCCATGCAGAACCCGGTAATGCCAAGCTTTTCGCCGTCAATTGCCGGATGGTTACGCAAAAAGTCGACGGTCGCGTTGATGTCGGCGACGATGTCAGGATCGCTAAGTACGTCCCAGGGACGAGGCCTGGGATCACCGTTTAACACCTCGTCGGGTATTCTGTGGTACAAATTTGGCGCAACGGCGGCATAGCCCGCTTCGGCGAACCTGTCACACATGGTCTGGATAAAGCGATCCACGCCACCACCATGCTGGCTGACGACAATGGCGTTGAATGGCCCAGCGCCAGAGGGAACGCTGGCGTACATATCCATGTCTTGCCCATCAACCTGAACCTTTTCCCAAAAGGATGGCATAGCGGCACCTCTCTTACGTTTGTTATTGGGTCGGAAGGTCTATTTGGCGATTTGCTTTCGCCGCTACCTGGAGCTTTTGCCGGTAAGGCCAAGCCGCCACCCACCTAATCCTAAAGCAGTCCCTCGGCCCTTACTTCGGCCAATGACATTTCAACTGCGGACAGTGTCTTGTCTATTTCGATCTCCGTGTGCGTAGAAGACACCAGGAACGAGTCTCGCCCCATGATATCGATTCCATTGTTTTGCATACTGCGCTTCAGAGCAGTGACCGCCGGCGACCCGATAGCAGCCTTAATTTCATTGTGTGGCATAGTACAAATGCCGCGGTCACAGTCGCAGTCCGCCAACACCAGGTGGATCATGGAGGCTACACCATGGGCATGTCCCGCAACTTCCATCTTGCCCAACACCTCGTTGAGCCCGAGTTTGAGGCGGTTGGCCATGGCGTCGGCCCGTTGGTTGATTGGCTGACTCGCTATCATTTCAAGGCATACGGACCCAGCTACGGCAGAGAGGGGATTGCCATTGAAGGTTCCGGGATGATAGACGCGTTCGCGATTGTCCCACTCAGGGTCGCCTCTATGGGCGATCATGTCGACGATCTCAGCCTTGCCGCCGACCGCACCACCGGGTAAGGCTCCGGCTACGATTTTCGCCATAGTGGTTAAATCAGGCTCGACGTCGTAGAGCACCTGGGCACCGCCGGGGGAAGCACGGAATCCCGTAACGACTTCATCAAAGATAAGCACTACTCCGTTCTGGTGGGTCAGGTCCCGCAGGCCTTTAAGGTAATTGGGTGTATCAAAGGGCAATTGCCCATAGTGTGCGCCAGTCGGTTCCAGGATTATAGCTGCAATGTCCGAGTCTCGGTTGAGAGCATCTTCTACTGCCCCCAAATCGCCCGAAGGGACTATAACCATGCTGCCCCAACTCTCTTGGGGTATACCCGGGGCGGGGCGGTCAGACCCAGCCATGGCATAGTCGTGCCAGCCGTGAAAATGGTCCTGCAGCTTTATGATTTTGTTCTTGCCGGTGTAGGCCCTGGCCAACCGCATGGCCATCAACGTTGCCTCAGTGCCGGAGCTATGGAAGCGCACACGCTCTACCGACGGCATAAGAGCCATAATGGCTTTCGCCCAGCGCAGTTCTTCGTCAGTGCATGCACCCAGGTGAGTACCCCGGTAAATCTGCTCCGAGACGGCGGCGGCAATGGCTGGGTGCGAATGACCCAATATCAGGGCGCCGTGGCCGGAGACGTAATCGATGTACTCGTGTCCGTCCACATCCCATTTGCAAGGGCCCGTTCCGTGGGTGATATATAGTGGGAAAGGTTGGGCGTACCGGTTATCGTGGGTAACGCCACCAGGAAATATCTGGGTGGCTTCAGCATACCGCTGTGCCGACCCCGGGTGCTTTGCGATATATTCTTCCAGAATGGTAGCCATATAGCCTCCTAAGCTGCCAGAAGCCTCTCTGTCCCCATGATATACCATAGAAAACGGTAAGGCTATGGAGTCAACCACAAGACCACATTGCCCGGACATAGCTACGGAAAGCGGTCATGGGACAGTTTCGAGAGCAGAAGCGGCTTCACCCCAAGGAGTCGTGGAGTGCCCCCCTTATTCCAAGATACATACGAGGACTAATGGGTTTACGGATCAGTCATCGCTTTCAGAAGCTCTGGTCAACTGCGGTGGCCGCCTGATCAACATGAAGCATATGCTGGCAAGACCTGCACAGACGGCAGCCGGGCCAATGGCCCAATCGTAGTTCCCGAAATGGTCGAAAACCCAGCCAACGTAAACAGGAGAGCCTACCAGTGCCCAGCTGTGCGAGAAGGTAATGTAACCCCGCAGGGTGGCAAACCGGTCACGGCCAAAGAAGTCACCCAAAGCCGCCCAGATGATTATGCCTGCTCCGTCGCCAAATCCCTCCAGGATAATAAACATCACCAGCAGCATGATTCCAATGGCGCCGGCATTCCATTCTCCAAAATACAGGAATACGAAGGCTATTGCCTCGGCAGCCAGGCTGACTGCCAGCAACAGGCCCTTTGGCCACTTGTCGCCCAAGTACCCCACTGCCAGCCGGGCAATGAAGTTTATGCCAAACATCGCGCCGGTCAAATTCGCGGCCATTTGGCGACTTACGCCTTTGTCTTCGAGTATAGGAATAATGCTGACCAAAATTCCCAGCGTGGCAATCATCCGCAGACCGGCGCCTAGCATGAGCAGCCAATAGGCGTTGGTATGGAGCGCCTCCCGGACAGTGTAATCCCTCAGCAGCCTGCGGCGCCCGGCGCCCCCACGGGCACCTAAAGTAGAAGGCGGTGTGGCGTCACCGTCGGGCAACAAACCCATATCTTCGGGCTTGTTCCGAAATAGAAAACAAAGGGGAAAGAGAAAAACCAGGTAGGAAACACCGGCAATCAGCGAGGCCATTTCCCAGCCCCATCTTTCGATCACGCCATTCATTGAAGGGACTATAAAGAGCCCACCCAGCGAGGAAACTGCGGCCAGAATTGAAATGGCGAGGGAGCGGCGGCGGCGGAACCATTGGTTGATTCCGGCAAACATAGCATGCTGAAATGCTATGCTGTTGCCCAGTGAAACCATCAACAGGTAAACGAGGGTAAAGCTCCAGAATCCGCTGACGAACTGGGACAGAGCAAAGTAACCGAGGAGCGCCAGCAGTACCGATGGTATAAGTAGCCTTCTGTTGCCAAAACGGTCAATCATCCAGCCGGCAAAGGGGCCTTCCAGCCCGCCTTCAGCGCGAGCAAGCGAAAAGATGAGGTTGGTTTGGGCTTGGCTAATGCCCAGGGAGTCCCGCAAGGCAGGTACGAAAACTGTGAAACCGCGAAAGAATATGCCGCTGGCAAAAAAGGACATCCAGGAGGTGATGGCCAGCATCCACCAACCGTAAAATATACGGGGACGCTGTTCCTGTGAAGTAGCCTGCTGCAAGTAAAACCGCCTACCCTGACTGCTGGGTTTACACCAAAAAAGAGGCCCGCCCTACCGGCGAGCCGCAGGTTGCATACCATCAATTTGTTGATAAAGTCTGCTGGATACTATTTGTAATTGGTTCGCATAGTTTACCCGCTCCAGAGAAATTGGGCAACGTATATCGTCGTTTCCGCAAACGAAGGACTGCAACAATTAGCGAGTGAATGTGGCCCGCAGTCTTGCGGAAAACCTTCGCCCCTATGGCAATGCTGTGCCCGGGCTTGTGACACGGGATAGTTGGAAGAAGACCGGTTGCAAGCTACAATTGGTTCAGGCCTTTGCCTCACCCGACAATCCGGAGACTGCAAGTCGAAAACAGGCATTCGCGGAGCCGGACAATGCGCCACATCATTCACGCAGATTTGGACGCCTTTTACGCTGCTGTGGAACAATTGGATAACCCCGACCTGCGGGGAAAGCCCGTAATGGTGGGAGGAAGTCCCCAAAGCCGCGGGGTTGTAGCAACGGCCTCATACGAAGCCCGTGTATTCGGCGTTCACTCCGCAATGCCCATGGCTACCGCGGTACGCCAGTGTCCTCAAGGCATAATCGTCCGGCCGCGTTTTGACCGCTACCGGGAAATGTCCCGTCTTGTGATGGACATTTTTCACCAACTAACCGACCTGGTTGAACCTCTTTCCCTTGATGAAGCATACCTTGACGTTACGGGCAAGGTGGCAGAAGGAAGGCTGCCTCTGGGAGTAGCCATTGAGCTCAAACGCCAGGTCAAGGATGCAACGGGACTGAATGTGTCCGTCGGGGTGGGCACCAGCAAATCGGTGGCTAAGATTGCATCCGACCTGGAGAAGCCGGATGGTCTTGTGCTTGTTGCCCCAGGCGAGGAGAGAGAGTTCTTGTCTCCCCTCCCGGTGGGCAAGCTTTGGGGGGTCGGCCCAAAAACCGCGGAGAGGCTATATGCGGACGGCATACACACCATCGGGGACCTGGCCCAGCAACCGGATGAATGGTTCGCCAGGAGGTTCGGGAAACGAGCTCCATACGTTCTTGCCAAAGCCATGGGTCAGGACGAAGAACCGGTAAAGACCGAGCGAACTCCAAAGTCCATCAGCGCTGAGACGACCTTCCCTGAAGACATCAGTGACCCTGAGGAATTGGGGGACGTATTGAACCGGCTAGCCTTGAACGTTTCGAGCCACCTGGAGCGTAAGGAAGTAAAGGGTCGCACCGTAACGGTCAAGCTCAGGCTTACCGACTTTACCACCCTGACCCGTCAAACCACCCTCTCGACCGCTACCAATTCGGAGAAGGTGATTTCGGAAACAGGCTGGAAGCTGATGTCGGCGGAATTGACTCCGGGCCGTTCCCTGAGGCTATTGGGTGTTGGCATGTCCGGCTTCGCAGAACATTCTGATCTGCCGCAGCAACTGCCGCTTCCCTTCTCCGACTCCATGTCCCAAGGTTGATGCTCACTCTGGTGATTCCCAGGCTGGCCAATTTCCCGGAAAGAACACTGCCAAAGTTACCTGAATAAGTCCTTGTCCGGATCCCGAATTAAGGCCTGGTTACTGGCGTCTTCCATCGGTTCATAAGCGAAACCGCGTATGACGGCTACTGGCACACCCAGAACCTTCCCTGTCACCAATTCAGCGGTAGCTGCCAGTTCATCTGCGATGTTGATGACCGTCGTGTACATCATGTTGCCGTGGGAATCCTCCTGCCCAACATAGCTCAGGAGCGGATTGATTCCGGCCACGCCAATGGCGACGTTTACTGCCGCGCTGCGCCACGGGCGGCCGAAGGTGTCCGATATAACCACGGCCACATCTACACCGGCCAACCTCTTGACGGACTCCCGTATGCCCCGAGCAGAGGCGTCCGGGTCGACGGGCAATAGGGCCACCGTTCCTTCTCCCGGAATATTTGAAGCATCGATCCCTGCGTTGGCACAGTTGAAGCCGTGATAGGTCTCGCTGATAATAACCCCCCGGTCCATGCGAACTATCCGGCGGCTTTCCCTCAGTATCAACTCGGTATGACGGGGGTCTCGCCGGTGCCCCTCTGTTATTGAAATAGCCAGGGGAGACGGTTCTATATCTTCGATAGATATGACGCGCCCTTCCGTCTTTGATACTATCTTTTGGGTCACAACCAGCACATCTCCGCCTTCTATTGGCGTCCCCTGGTTCCTGGCAGCATCCACTATTTGGGCGGCAATGTCGTCCCCTGGTTTTGCCTCGGGCATCCCTTCTATGCCAATGATACTGATCTGCGGTGGCATCGCGTCTCGCTCCTTTCTAATCCAATGGAGTCGCTGGTAGTCTTGCTTGCTCGGGCTGGTATGGCAGGGTTAGGCCGCTACCAAGTATAGCTTCACCAATACCCCTATGCTACAATTCCAGCTGATCAGGACGCAGCAACCACCCTCCTACAGCAACGGAAAGGCAAAAATCTCCCTGGCAAGGACTATTGACGTGACTTCTTCATCGTCTTCCTACCGGAAACGGGTTTATACCAAGTTCGGCGACAAAGGTGAAACCAGCCTGCTCTATGGCGGGCGAGTTTCCAAAAACGACCCTCATACCGAGGCCTACGGAGTAACCGACGAAGCAGTCTCGGTGATGGGCCTGGCAAGGTCCTTCTCTGAAGACCCGAAGGTCAAAGACATTCTTCGTGATGCGCAACGGGACCTGTTTATGATTGCCGCCGAATTAGCTACTGAGCCGGACAAGTACGAGCTTTTCCAGCAGCACTTTGCTCCGGTAACAGTTGAAATGGTGGAGAACCTGGAACATACCATCGATTCCCTTGAGGAAGAATTTGAGATGCCAACGGTCTTCGTCCTGCCCGGCGGTTCTCCTTCTTCTTCAGCGATAGACATGTCACGCACCTCCATACGTACTGCCGAACGCCGAGTGGTGGCCTTGGCTGAAGCTGGCCGCCTTACCAACGAATTAATTATCAACTACCTCAACCGGTTGGGTGACCTGCTCTTTGTTCTGGCCCGCTACGAAGACCGCGAATTGCCCATCGAACGGGCAACCGGCGAACGCAGCTAGTAGCGACAAGCTAGCTTGCCCTACTGAATGAAATGGCCCAAGAATTGAAGATTGTCGTAATTGATTACCAGTCCGGTAACCTGAGAAGTGTGGCCAAGGCTTTGGAAGCGGTAGGCGCAAGCCCGGTGGTTACAGAGGACGCTTCTCAAATAGAATCTGCCGACGCAGTTATTTTGCCTGGCGTAGGCTCCGGCCCGGCGGCCATGCGGGCCCTGGAAACTCGGGGGCTGGTAAAGCCAATCAAGCAGTATGTGGCGGGCGGACGACCCTTCCTGGGAGTCTGCCTGGGACTGCAGCTGCTCCTGGAAAGGACCGACGAAGGCGACGCTCCCTGTCTCGGTATTGTTCCTGGTCAAGTCCGGCGCCTGCCTGGCGGAATGAAGGTTCCCCACATGGGTTGGAACAGCGTCGATTTTGAGTTCGATCACCCGGTGTTCCGGGGAATTCCCCCTGCCAGCCACTTTTACTTTGTCCACAGCTACTATGCCGATCCCGACAAGAATGCAGGAGTAGCTGGTACGACCACATATGGCATTCCCTTTTGCAGCGCATTCGCCCGGGACAACCTGGTAGCAACCCAATTCCATCCCGAAAAGAGCGGCACGGTAGGGTTGCGAATTTACCGAAACTTCCTGGAGTTTGCCGGTAACTACTCGGCCTGACTATCTGTCGCGCTACCGAACGAGCCAAACATGGAAATCATTCCCTCCATAGACCTCAAGGCAGGCCGTTGCGTACGCCTCTTCCAGGGTGACTTTCAGAAAGAAACCGTCTTCTCCGATGATCCGGTTGCAGTGGCCCTCGGCTGGCAGGAGCAAGGCGCCCAGCTTCTGCACTTAGTGGATTTGGACGGCGCCGCAGATGGAACGCCCGCCAATTTACCCATTATCGAAGCCATCGCAGAAGCCCTGCGAATCCCGGTCCAGGTGGGCGGTGGAATCAGGGCAAGAGTGACCGCTGATAGGTTGATTGCTGCCGGAGTGGCCCGGGTGTTAATTGGCACTGCTGCTATCGAAAACCCTTCGCTGGTCGAGGGCCTGTGTCGAGATTACGGAAATGAATCTACTGTGGTAGCAGTGGACGCCCGTAACGGCCTGGTGGCAATACGGGGTTGGACCGAAGGCAGTCAGGTTGAGTCGATAGACCTGGCCAAAGAGATGGCAAGTTAGGAGTACCTCGCCTGCTGTATACCGATATATCCCGGGACGGGACCCTCACCTCCCCTAACTTTGAAGCCAACGCTGAATTGGTGAGGGAAACGGGATTGAAGGTGCAGGCTTCAGGAGGTGTATCTGCCCTGGAACACGTGGCCCGGTTGGCACAGACGGGAGTAGAAGGGGTAATAATCGGGACCGCTCTTTACCGCGGAACAATATCGCTGAAAGAGGCCATAGAGGCTGGGCAAGCAGGCGCCCAAGGTTCAGGTTAGAGCCGGGCCCGCTTAGTCTTGCTTGGCGGACTCCTGGGGCCAGCGATCTGCCAGCCTTTCTTCGGCTTTCTCGAACCAATCTTCTCTTAACACTTCCATCAGGATGAAGTCGCGGCCCATCCGCCTGACTGGACGCACCGGATTAAAGCCGCACCTGCCAAAGCTGCGCTGGGCACGATGATTCCACTCCAGGGTATGGAGATAGACCCGCTTCAAGTTCCGCTCGTTGAACATGAAGTCCAGCAAAGTTACTACAGCATCGTAACCGTAGGCATTGTTCCAATAATCCCGGTCCCCAATAACAATCCCGAGTTCGGCTTCCAGGTTGATGGTGTCCAGGTCGTAGTACATGCAGTTGCCGATCAACTTGCCGTCTTCAACATCAATGCCAAAATGGTGGGAGCCAGGCGTAGGATAGCGCATTTGGTCCTGAAACATTTTCAGATACCGGTCGTAATTCATACTCAGGGGATAAGTGGCATCCAGTTGAGCCAGTTCAGCATCACAGCGCCAAATGTAGTCCTGCTCTGCATCTTCAAGCTTCTTGTCGCGCAAAACGACCCGCGCGCCCTTTAACTCCAGCATATTAGATGGTCCTCTCCCTTTGAGAGATCAGGTCATAAGCCTGCCTGAGAACATCGGCTTCATTGGGGTAAGCCAGCCTCGTAACAGCCTCATCGTAGGGAAACCATTGGACCACATCAAATTCGGGGTCGTGAAGGCTGGTATCACCACCAGTCGATCTCATCAAGTAGAAGTGCACCGTCTTGTGATAGCGCACATCATCGTCTTTATTTGAGAACCAATAGTCTATGCTGCGAATGCGTTTTTCAATGACCGGTTCCAACCCCGTCTCTTCCTGCACTTCCCTCAAGGCAGTTTCCTCAAGGGTTTCGCCGAGGTCGGGGGTTCCTTTCGCCAGACTCCAGCGGGCCGGTTCATCCCGACCGCAAAGCACTATTTCCAATTGGTCAGCCACCCAGCGGTAAACCACACCACCGGATGACACAGGTTCCTCCACCCGGGACTTGCCGCCGCCGGGGGAACTCTTCCTCGCCATGAGCGCCCCTTAATATTCGTGGGGTTCCGGCTTGGAACCCCACGGTAACAACATGATTAATTGACCTTAATTGTAGGGTTGAGACCATTGGTAGTCAATGCGAATATAAAGGCGAACTTAAGGCGCCTTATGCAGTTCGAGAGCTATTCTGGCTGTAGGAAACGGGGTCAAAGGATCCGATGTTCCCTTTCACCTTTTAATCATGACAGGATACTTCGAGGCAAATGTGCCGATCCCCAATTGGGACTAACCGCCGCTGATGGCTGGAACAAAATGGACTTCGCTGTTCTCCCTGACGCGCTCCAGGAGGCCCATTCGGGCAATCTCGCCATCTATGGAGACAGCCAAGTTAGAGCGCACCTCGTTGTTTCCACCAGCCTATCTTTGATGCCAGGGAACTGCTCTTCAAGTCCGTTGATTAGTTGGCGAACGTTGGAGGCCTCCACCTGCACCTGCTTTACGCCGCTGGTAACCGGCAGCAGCATTGTCGGAATATATACTGTAGCCACGTTAGCTGCTCCTCATTGACCGAAATTATTCCAACACCTTGGCATACAAAAGCCGATCTATGGTTTTGCAGTTCTTGGTAATGCTTTTGCGAAGTCTGCCCTCACAAACATAACCCGCCTTGACCAGGGCCCGAGCCGAGGCCGGGTTCCAATCATAGACAGCAGCTTCAATTCGGGCCAGGTCAAAGTTAAGGAAAGCAAATTAAGTTAGAGCCTGTACTGCAGCGGTTGCTATTCCCTTTCCCCAATGGGGCTCACCCAACCAGTAGCCCAATTCGGCCGAGCGGCGGAATACGTCATTCCCCAGTCTCAATCCTATTCCCCCTATGGCCTCCTTCGAATCCGCAATTGCAGAATTCGTTTCCGGATCTTGCCGGCTGGCGAGATTAATCCAGCCTTTGGCATCCTCAGAAGAATACGGATAAGGAAACGAGTCTCGCAGATTTATCGAACCACTAAGATTATTGGCGTAGGTCACCAAGCTCTCTTTAGTCTTCGCGGCGCCAACTGCGTATTTGCCATTCGCCGAATTTCAACAACATATGTAACCATTACGTTGAAGGGCGGGTTTGACACCCGCCCAACTAGAATACACCGGGAAACCCTTGACGCCGACTCTACTCCAAAGCTTCCAGAATAGCGCCCGGATTGGCCGGAAGTCTGCTAATCCGGCTGCCAATGGCGTGGGATATGGCACTGCCGATAGCGGCCAGCGGAGGAACTATAGGAACCTCTCCCACACCTCTAACGCCGTAAGGATGGCCCGGGTTGGCCACCTCGACAATGACCGTATCGATCATCGGCAAGTCCAGCGCTGTGGCATCCGGTAGTCCAAGAAGCTGGAATTCATCATCTGTCCCTGGTCGTTGAGGAAATACTCTTCATTCAGAGCCCAGCCAATACCCTGAACCACGCCCCCTTGCATCTGCCTTCACGTAGCTGGGATGGATTGCCTTCCCTGCGTCCTGAACAGCGTGTACCGAGAATGGTTACTTTGCCGGTATCAGGATCCACTTCCAAGTCCACGATGTGAACTCCGAAGCCATTGCCTTCGCCGCTGGGGTCCACGTTGGAAGCCCCAGTGATGCCACCACCAGTGCCGAGCAACTGTCGCGCTAGCTCCTTGAAGGTCATTCGCAGTTCGGGATCCGACTTGTGGGACAAGACGCCGCCTTCGTATTGAACATCCTCCACAGCCGTATCCCATATCTTGGCTGCCCGTTCCACCATTTGTCCCTTAACGTCCTCAGCCGCTTCGATAGCGGCCCAGCCCGTGGCAAAAGTGGTGCGGCTGCCGCCGGTCACCATGGTATAGCCAATGGAGTCGGTATCTACTACTGTTGGCTTGACGTCTTCGTAGGCGACTCCGAGGGTTTCGGCGGCCTGCTGAGCAATTGATGCCCGGCTTCCGCCGATGTCCACGGAACCTTCAATCAGGTTGACGGTGCCGTCCGGGTTGACACTTATGTTAACGGCGGACTGGAAACCCCGGTTAAACCAGAAGCCGGCTGCTACTCCTCTGCCCCGGTTAGGTCCAACCAAGGGAGTCTTGTAGTGATCGTGGTTGCGGGCAGCTTCCAGGCATTCCACCAACCCTATGCGCCGGAAGACCGGCCCTTCCACCCGGCGGACACCTTCGCGGGACGCATTGCGGAGTCGGAACTCAACTGGGTCCAAGCCCATTTGCTCACAGACTTCGTCAATTACCGATTCGACGGCAAACGCCGCCTGAGGGGAACCGGGCGCACGGTATGCCGCGGTCTTTGGCTTGTTAACCACTACGTCATAACCATTGATGCGCGCGTTCGGGACGTCGTAACAGGCGAGGGCACACGCGGCTCCCTGCATTACCGGAGAGCCGGGATATGCGCCAGCCTCGAAGGCAAGAAAAATATCGGCCGCCGTTATCTTGCCGTCGTTGGTTGCACCCAGCTTGACCTTCATCCATGTACCGGGAGCAGGGGCCGGATGCTTCGAAAACCTCGGTGCGGGTCATCAGCAGCTTTACCGGTCGGCCGGATTTACTGGAGAGCAACGCAGCTACTGGTTCCAAATAAGCAGTGATCTTCCCGCCGAAGCCGCCGCCAATCTCCATGGGAGTCACCTTCACCCTGGAGACGGGATGACGGAGAATATCGGCTACGTTAGTGCGGACGACGAAGGGCCCCTGGCTGCTGCACCAGATGTTCAGCTGCCCGTCAGAGTTCCAAAAGGCCGTCGCATTGTGAGGTTCTATGTATCCCTTGGTGGACGGAGGCAGTTTCGTATTCCCGCTCCAGCACCAGATCGGCCTGCGCAAATCCCTGATCGATGTCTCCGGTTTCGAACGCCATGTGCGAGGCGACGTTGCTGGGCTTGTCGGACAACTCACCCAACTCAGAGGTAAACAGGTCATCGTGAAGAAGTGGAGCATCAGGCTCCATAGCCTGTTGCACCGTCAGGGCCGGAGGCAGGACTTCGTACTCTACCTTAATCAGGTTAATGGCCTCTTCCGCCACGTGTTGGCTGTCAGCCGCCACCGCAGCGATGGGGTGCCCCCTGAAGAGGACCTTGTCTGAGGCCAGGGTATGATTGCTGGCGAGCTTTACTCGCTGGTAGTCGCCACCCAACTCATCGCGGCTCAAAGAGGCGAAGGGCAAGTCGGAGGCCGTCACCACAGCGTGAACGCCAGGGTGGACCTCCGCAGCGGAGGTGTCAATAGACTTGATCCGGGCGTGGGCATGGGGACTGCGCAGCACTTTGCCCTGCAACAGACCGGACAACTGTACATCAGCCCCGTACTGGGCCCGTCCCGTAACCTTGTCAACGCCGTCGGGGCGGATATGCCGCTTGCCGACGACGTTGTACTCAATATCAGAAAGAACAATGTTGGAGGTCACAACCAGTACCTCCTTTAGGCCTTCATCTTCTCTTCGGCGTCCAGGACGGCACGAACAATTTTGTCATAGCCAGTACAGCGGCAAAGGTTGCCCGCCAGCCAGTGGCGTATGCGTCCCTCATCGGCATCCGGTTCCCGGTCAAGGAGCGCTTTGGTGGCCACGATGAAGCCGGGTGTGCAAATTCCACACTGCAGCGCGGCATTCTCCAGGAAGGCCTGTTGCACCGGGTGCAGGCCCTCAGGAGAAGCAACTCCCTCAATGGTCGTAATTTCTTTGCCTTGGGCCTCAACTCCCATTACCAGGCAGGAAGTAACGATCCGGCCGTCAAACATGACCGTGCAGGCGCCACAATTGCCGTCGTTGCAGCCTTCCTTGGTGCCAGTCATGCCGAGCACGTCCCGAAGCACCTCTAGCAGGCTCTGGCGGGGCTCACAGAGATAATCGGTGGGGTTTCCGTTAATCGTGGTACTTACGTGTACAAGTCCAGGCATGTTTACTCTTCTCCCCTAGCTCGCCTTACGGCGTTGTTCAAAGTGCGGCGGGTCAGGACTCCAACCAGATGAACCCGCTGACGAATCGTACCACGCATGTCGGTGATAGGCTTGGCATCTGCCATAGCCAACCGGGCTGCTCTTCTATGGACTCGTCGGAAACCGGCTTCCCGGCCAGGCTGGCGCCAGCCTCCTGGCAGAATACGGGAGTCGGGGCGACGGAAGCCAGGGAAATGCGGGCGGATACAAAGTTTTGGCCCGAATCATCCAGCACCACTGCGCTGCCGACGCCGGCGACCGCAATATCCATCTCGTTTCGGGGAATAAATCGCAGATAATTAGCTCCAGAACCTGCTTTAGGAGCGGGTACGTTGATGGAAACCAGGATTTCGCCAGCCTCCAATACGTTTCGGCCGGGGCCGGTGCAAAAGTCCTCAACGGCGACCTGCCTGGTTCCGTTGGTGCCCACAATGTTGGCAACGGCTCCCAATGCGATCATCGGCGGTATTGCGTCGGCGCTGGGGGCGGAATTACAAAGGTTGCCACCAAAGCTGGCTCTGCCCTGAATCTGAATGCTTCCTATCAGCGAAGCAGAGTCAACCAGCCCTGGATATTTGGACACTACGTCCTCGTTCTGGTAGATGCGGTAACAGGGTGCTGCTGCGCCGATGGTCAGACCTGAGTCCGGACTGTAGGAAATCTCGTTCAGTTCCGGAATGTCCTTAACATCAACCACCAGATCAGCGCTGCGGCGGCCACCGCGAAGTTGCACCAGCAGGTCGGTGCCACCGGCCAAAGCCCGGGCACGGTCTCCCTTGGAGGCCATGACCTGAACAGCCTCATCTAAAGTTTTCGGTGTGGTAAATTCAACTGCTTCCAATTGCCCACCTCCTTTCCGGACGAATTATAGCACTATGCCCTAAGGGTGTCAGCTACCGTCCCTACTGCTGATGTGTAGCCATCTGACATTGTGCTCACCAGATCAGTACATGCCGTCCATAGGACTGACTGACAGTCGAATTGGTCGGGAAGTCTATTGTGGGCAGCCATAATGCGCCCAAATATTCCTCTTGTGTCGCTGACAGGGGTAGGTAACGGCCGAAATCGGCGTACGCTTAGCTTGGGAAGGCGCACCGGCATCCACATCTTGGTTTGTGACACCACCAGATGCAGGAGACCCCCGATGCGCCTTCCCAGAGAATGCTATCAGATGCAAAAAACGATTGAAACGCATTTACCTCACCTCTCCCAGGCACAAATGACCGGCCTGGCGCTGTGGGTCTGCGGGGCCATCCTCGCCGGCAGCGCCTGCCAGAACGCCGTGGCCTCGGCCCTCTCCCCTTGGCGCAAGTGGAACAACCTGCGCCAGTATCTCCGGGAGTGGCTCTACGACGGCAGCGACCGGACCAGTCCCTGCCAGACCCAACTGGACGTAACTCTCTGCTTCGCGCCCCTGCTCCGGTGGGTCCTGGCCTGGTGGTATTCCGAACGTCTCGCCCTGGCCATCGACCCCACGCTCAAGGGCGACCAGACCACCGCCATCGTCATCAGCGTGCTCTACCGCAGTTGCGCCATCCCCGTGGCCTGGCACATCCGGCACGCCGACCAGCCCGGCTCCTGGATGGACCCCACCGTGGAACTGCTGCAAGCCTTGGCCCCAGCGGTTCCCGAGAATATGACCGTCATCGTGCTCTGCGACCGGGGCATCGCCAGTCCCAAGCTGTGGCAGCAAATACGGGATCAAGGCTGGCACCCCGGTATGCGCTACCGGAAGAACATCACTTTCGGCGCTGACGGCGGCAAACGATTGCCCGCCCAGCGCTTCGTCTCCCGTCCCGATACGGCGTGGATTGGCCGCGGCACCGCCTTCAACACCCCCAAGGCCCAACGCCGCTGCACCCTGCTGGTGGTCTGGTACTCCGAACAGGAGGAGCCCTGGATCATCCTCACCGACCTTGCGCCCGACCAGGTGGGTCCCAGTTGGTACGCCCTGCGCTTCTGGATCGAGCTGGGCTTCAAGGCCATCAAGAGCCTGGGCTGGAAATGGGACAAGACCCGCCGCACCGACCCCACCCGCGTCTCCCGCCACTGGCTGGTGCTGTCGGTGGCCACCCTGCTGGCCCTGGCCTACGGCACCAGGGTGGAAGACGCCCAGGAGCGGAGGATTGCTCCAGGGAACCTGCGGGCGCCGCCCAAAGCGCTGGCTCCCAATCACCGTGACCCTTGGAGCCGTCCGGCGCGCACCGTGAGCGTAATCCGCCACGGAATCGACTGGCTCCGGCGGTTGCTGATCAAGGGCCGCCTCTGGAGCCGCGTCTGGCTGCTGCCCGAACCCTGGCCGGAACCCAAGCTTAACCTGGAGATTACTCGTCATGTCC